TTTATTTATTTTAAGGTAGCTTGTTTGTCTGGTGCATTGTGTAACGGCAAAGCTGTGGCGTGTTTTACTACGATGAAAAATGTTGGCAGCATCAGATTGGATCTGTGAGTCAACAGTAATATTCAGGGTGAACCGAACCAACAATATTAGGACTAATATGTTTGTGTGTAACAATGTTACTCATACAAGCAACATGGCTGACTAAAATATTGATATGTCTAAGTCCAAGAAAATTAATAATTAGCACATGAAAATTTGACTGTGAACCTGGACCATTACAATCATAACTGTATTGAAGACTGAAGAAAAATTAGAAAGTGTCCAGAGGACCGGACTTTACTTTGTTGGATATCCAGAAACAACATAACATCTTGTCCAACACTTTAAACATCATAACTTTAAAAGGTTCTGCAATTTATTTTTTTGGCAAATTTCTTGTGCTCCAGTTAAAATACGACCACCTTCACCTCTGTTAACATGACTAATGTTTGAATAACTGTGGGTCTATATGAGAAATGACATCACTGTGACCCCCCACAAAAGGTAGGCAAGAAGCTGCAAGTCGGTAAATTTATTTTACTCTGAGCTGATGCACCAAACTGAACATTAGTTTCACTTGTACAACAAGTGCACAAGTTGTTCTAGACCCCTGGACCATTCTTACCTCTTCCCCCTCGCCCTCCACGGTCACCAAATCCTCCTCTGAATCCACCTCGTCCTCCTCTGTCCCCACGAGGACTAAAACCTGAAACACATTGGGCACGTCAGCTGGACTTGTGGCAGAAAACAGTGCAGTAGTTTATGAAATATTTCTCTAACAGGCTTTTTTTTTTTTCTCTTCTCTTTAGCAATTTATCTTTGTTTCATAAAACTAAACAGGGAACTGTAGACCTTGTAAATATAGTTCTTTTTCATGTTTTGGCACTTTTTTCGTACCCTTATCCTTATGCTTTAGTTTTTCTTGTTTGTTTTAGCGAGTCGACTCTGTTTTTCTCATCCTGAACATTTCATTGCATTGCTGACCTTGTGTTAACCTACATTTGACAAATAAACAACATAACATGACCTTAGAAAAAGTACACAGTACAATGCTGTTACTGCTAGTATCACTCAGCCCTCTGTGAATAGTAAACAGCCATCAGTGTGCTAATAATCCATTGTTAGGCTGATGGTCCTTCTTGAGCATGTGAGCAGCTGGTTTTGGTTGTCAGCAGCAAAACTGGTTGATCCACTCTGAGAAGGTGCTATTTAAGAGACTGAGCTGAAAACAGCACCTCAGACTGAGGAAGTCTCTCGGATGAGACGAAACGTTTCTACATTTTGTTGTTTTTTGAATGTCCAGATGACCAGATTTAACTTTTTTAGATTTTTCCACCTGGATTATTGAGCATGCATCAGGATACACAGTATAGTGTTCTCTAATGAAGTCTTGAAATTCTAAGACTTTAACCTGCACCATCAAGACCAACATCATTCTGAAGGGAGAGGGGTTTAACAATTTTTGTGTTTACTTTTAGAGGGGTCCTCATATATTTTTAAAACGTATAGCCAATTGGGAGTATTACACTTAAAAAAAACAACTTTCTAGAATGAGATTCTAGATTTCTCACACACATCTGTATACATACATACGTTGCAAACTTATGTGTTGTCTGTCAGACGACACGAAGCTTAATTTAGACCTCAGACTCGTGGGTCCTGATTCAGTGAGAGGAATCGGTTCTTTAACTCGAGTGAATCAGGAACGACCAGGTCTAACCGCGTGTTGGTGGCACAACACAACCATGCGAGGCCTGACCAAGTGTTTCACTGTATCTGGGGGCAATGTGGGCTTTTGTTGAAACTGTCCAGCGTGTTAATTTTATTTTCATACTTGACATTTTACAAATCTTACGTGAATCATTTAGGAGTCTTAAAAACACAAACACCGATCACTGGCTTCACAGAATCCAGGTGGTCTGGGCTCCTGCCTGAAATTTTTATACAACTCACATGTTCAGTTCGAGACTCTTCCGTTCCGTTATAAACCAAACATAAATTAAAACTACAGTCCGATTCAGCACTGCAGGCCTTACCCCTGCTTTTAGACTACGTTTTATCTACGTTGTCCAATAAACTGACACTAAATACATATATCTATCGTCATATTACGAGTGGCCCTCGCACTCCGTCGTACTAGAACCCGAGATGAAGCTATACTCCATCGTTCTTCCTCATTATCGAACATAGGACGAAGTAGAACATCAATTCATTTAGGTAACATCTAAACAAAATTAATTTGGATAGTCATGGGTACAGTCTAGTAAAAGTTAACCAACCAACGCCGCGACTCTGTGCGTGTCGAAGCACGTGCTAATCTTTTCACAGATATACTAGCTAACACACAAGCTGTTTCACTTGAAAGGTAGTTTTACCTGGCCTCATGCTTTCTGTTGAACAACGGATGGGAAACGACCAGATTGTTATTTTTTCTGTTTTCTGCAGCTGTACAACCGACTTGTCGTAGACACGTGCACAGCTGCTTCTGCTTCTTCTTCCTGCTTCTTCTTCTTCGTTGTTTATTTTATTTTGGACGGTCGACAAACAACTGAAGGTGTTCTTTACCGCCTCCAAGCGGTATGGAGGTGCTTCGTTATGGATCATTTTCTAAACTGTGTGCGTGAGTGTGTGTGTAAACTATATTCTATTACATTACCGGCAGAAAGAGTACTGAAAATTAGTACTCAGGCACAAGTACTGTTACACTGCTTAAATTGTACTCAATTACAAGTAAAAGTACAGGTGTTACAAAAAATACTTAAATAAAAGTACAAAGTATTCTTCTCAAAAACTACTCAGAGTATTAATTATTTTTTAACCAGTTGATTTTTGTGTGTGTTGTCAATAGAAGTCATTCAGTTTGATTTACTGTATATAACAGCTATATTCAAAGCAGATTTTTCATAAGCTCCGTCTTATTTTAGTACCAGACAAACCGATGGCAGTGACAGTATCTAAGATCTTTGCATATTTAGCCAAACTAATAACCCACACATACAAACAGTAAAAAAACAATGTCATACAGGTTATGTCTGGGGTTCCATTAGTGACAAAAATATGTTTATGTGTCTATGTGAAGTGTGTATGTAGCGTGCTCTGTATATGTAAGGTGATATGTTAAGTGATATGTTAAGTAATATATTAAGTGATATCTTAAGCGCATAAGTTAAGTGATATGTTAAGCATATATGTTAAGTGATATGTAAGGTGATATGTTACTTAACATACAGTATATGCTTAACATATCACTTAACACATCACTTTACATATACACAGCACGCTACATACACACTTTACATAGACACAAACATATTTTTGGCACTAATGGAACCTCATACAACCACAGATACTGCAATATGTTTTTTGAGATTAGATGCTGAAGTCTTGTAAGCAGCTGTCACCGTAGAGATCAAACAAAGTTTGCATGTGAACACTGTCTCTTTTTCACCCGCTGTACATGAAACATTCATCCAGATATGGCCACAGGCACTCGTCCTGTCTTTACCTCATCATTTTCTCCATTGACAGTGTTGTCCTCTGTCTCCATTTTGGCTTATTCTCAAAATTTTCGGTCCATAAATGTCTCTCTACTCTACAGAGTTGTCCTTTGCTTACATCATAGGTAACTGGCATGTTTGCGATCTGAGAGCCTTATTGGCTACAAAGATGCAGATAAACAGTTTGAATAATAATTTAAATTGCAGCCGTACTCATTAGCGACTTCTGATTTTAAAAGTAGTGACGTAGATTACATGGTCTAAATCGTACTCAAGTATGAGTAAAATTACACACTTGGAAAAAATACTCATAAAAGTACGTACCAACCAACCGCCCACCCCCCAAAAAATCGACTTAATTAAAGTTATGCATTTGTAATAATCATCCAAATTTTCAAATATTTCACTCGATGTGTAATGAATGGTTGAAAGTTTCACTTTCTGAAATGATTAATAAAAAAAAAAGAATAAAAAAAAAAAGAAGTTTTTCAAAATATTCACATTTTTTGCAATGCACCTGTAAATCTAGAGAAGAGACTGCTTAAAATGACATACTGTAAATGCTAAGAAAACATTTTACAGGCTTCACTGTTTGGGATCTGCATCATGACATAAGTCCTCTACTTGGGAAACCCTTGTCAAGATAAAGAATAGAAGTGGGCCCATAATAAAACCTTGAGGGATCCCACATAAAAGTTCAATAGACATCTACTGGTTTAGAAAGACATTGAAAACCCTGTAAAATATCTGAACCATTCTAGAACAGACAATGTGACAAATGTCAAACTGCTGACATGCCACAGCATGTAAAGATTATTTTAAATAGCATAAATAGCTGGATGATAAAATATTAAATATTTAACAAAATGTACAGACCCATTACAAAACAACACACACAAAAAAAGCAAGCTATCATGCCATTTCTATCCTAGCTAGTTATTTTATCTTAATAAAATCCTGGTTAAAGTAACACACTAAATGATTACCGGTACAAGTAATAAACCATTATGTACAACGAATCAATTTGTACATTTCTGAACACAATGTAAAACAAGGTGAAATCCAAGAAACCTTCCCGGCCAATGCTTGATTTTATTTCAAATAAGTTAGATTCCTAGTAAAGTAGTGCACATCGGCGTGTGATTTTATCACAGTGCATACATTACATGTTCTATAAACACACGCCTAGACGTATGAAAGCACATTTATACATACAGTACAGCTTACAGGTGTACACACAGACACACAGGTCTGGACTTAATGCTACAAGATATTTTCATGTTTCTAGACAGAGCTCAGACAGAGAGGCAGATGCTCTTTTTAACAAACTGAATGGTAGAACCAGTCTTTCATACAATGCACAAAATAGTCTTGTCAGAAAACAATGTGTACTCACATCAAGAAAGGTGAAAATGGCAACAGAACAGTACACATTCACATGCATTTCATTTAGGCATGCAAAGAAAAAGCACAGACAGTTTTAGTGTCCTCAAACAGCTTTGAGATCAAATGTGTCACAGTTGTCAGTATCAGGGACAGATTGACTATAAATAGGAAGTGTTTTCTGTAAACCATCATTGGTGAAAATATGATTTTAACTAACCAGGACACAGTTGGAAAAGGTGCATCAGTATCATTTGACCCTGATTTGAATTGGACTTTTGTGACAGAAGCTAAAAGAGGCTGTGGCCCAGAAACACTGCTCATATAGGAACTAATGCACAGTGTGCACGTATTGTTAATGGCTTGGCCCTCGCGTTGTAAAAATGATTTTAACTTAAGCTCATCAAGCTGAACACGTCATATACACTTGAAGTTATTATCTGCAGAGCTGTTGGTGTAAAGATTACATTGACAAAACATTGCGAACAGTCCATGACTTAATGAATTTATCTAACCAGAATTGTGCATTTCTCTTTTGTTTTTATCGTTTGACTTTTTGAATCAGCGTCCTTAAAAGTTGGGATGAACCTTAAGTAAGTTATGACATGAAAGCAGCATTTAAAGTAAAAGTGTGAAAGTATTGTTTCTGTGCTCAGCTGGATGAATCTCCATCAGAGAAAACAAACACTTGCAAACTGATAACAGACTGTTTGAAACTGACCACTGAGCCATGCTGATGAAAAAGAAACATCCAAGTTATCAAACTACAGCTACCTTCAGTTTTACTCCTAAAGTATAATCACCACCTAATGCCATAACTTTAAACACAAGCAGAGTATTAAAAAAGTCAAATACACTGAGGAAAAAAAAAACATTTAAATGTATATATAGTACACTGTATGTATTGAAGAAGATGGTGTATGACACTGGAGTCAGCTCAGTGTTCTGCTTACACACACACACACACACACACACACACACACACAAAAACCCACTGATGACGTTTTACCGTGGTCTCTGCCAAATTGCCTCTTTTTGATTAAGTTCCTTGTCATCACTGGACAATTAGAACACAACAGGAACAATGAAGATGAATAATCTCCTGAATTAACAGTTCAGAGTCTAAACAGACACCTAGTATTACTCATTTCAAAAGAACACAAATAAAACTTTATTTAAACAAAATCACACAAAGGATAGTTAATTATGTGTTGCTTCTTAGTTCAATGTCCAGACTCGCTTTTTAAATAAACAAAAAATAAATGTTTTTTTTTGGTCACAGTGTCTAAACGTACAGATATGTTTTAGTTAACAGTCCTGAAGCCGTATTAATCGTCAGTAAAGGTAAAGTGTTCCAGTCCTGTCAAAGCAGCAACACATCATATGGTCGCTCCAGCTTGCACACGAAGAAACTCCAGTTCACTCCAGTTCACTCCAGTTCACTCCAGTTCACTCGGCGTGTTTTGAGTTTAAAACTAGCTCAACTGACAGGTAAACTACGTAAAACCTCAGATTCTTTTTTACGTTTGTGCTGAGATTCTTAGCAGAAGACTGTATATTTCTATATGTTGCATAATAGATTCAGTCATCGAGGCGGCACGGTGGCGCAGTTGGCAGAGCTGCCGCCTCTCAGCAAGAAGGTTGCCGGATTGAATCTCAGCCAGGGGAGGCCATTCTGGGTGGAGTTTGCATGTTCTCTCCGTGCATGTGTGGGTTTTCTCCGGGTGCTCCAGTTTCCTCCCACAGACCAAAAACATGCATGTTAGGCTGATTGATAACTCTGAATCGTCCCTAGGTGTGAGTGAGAGAGTGAATGTTTGTTTGTCTCATTTGTCTCTATGTGTCCCTGTGATGGACCGGAGACCAGTCCACAGTGTCCCCCGCCTCCCAAACAGTGAATTCTCAAACCCACTGTCCATTTTTGCCACTATATTTGAATTCAAGTGTCGTCATCCCGCTGTAACAGGTTTTTAGTGTTTGGTCCCTGGATGTCAGGTTAGGGCTGCAAACAGTAAAACCCCAGCAGATTGTTAGTGACAGTGCTTTTATATTTACACTCATGTTCACAGTATTTCTGGTGTTTTCTCAAAGTCACACCTGGACAACAGGTGTGATGTCTCAATGTCTGACTGAATGAGCTTGACCAACACTGGCGCTGCATGTTCTTAAACCCTGAGGTCTCAGTACGAAGAATGAGGCTGGCAGCTGATGGAGAGAAAAGGCCGTTTGTTACAAGGAAGTTCTTGTGAGATTAAACAGTTTTGGTTTTAGTTATTTTAAGTGTTCTTCTTATCAAATATAATCTGCATTCTGAAGTCAAACAGGACCAGCTAATGCACATTCTAATATAAATAACAGTTATATTCCTGTTCAGCTGCCTCTCTACAGAGGAACGCCAGGCTTGTTGAAAGCTCATATTAGAATAAAGTCCTTGTCCGCCTCTTTCCCTGAGTCTGATGACTTCTTTCTTGTTGCCTTGTCGTGGTTTGGACATTTGTCCTTGTTGAGTTTGAGGGAGATTTGATCCTCAGAGTTGGTGCTGGATCTCTGAACAGCATCTGCAAATGAGAGCCATTCAAAAGAAAAACAGATGAAAAATGTTGTCAAAAAATAGAATTAAAGAAAATTATGAAATTTCTAAAAACTTCTAGCAGGCTGTTTTCTGTTTTCATGCTTATTTTAACGGCTCCCTTCTTCAGTGGTTGCCACGGTGAGTGAACTTGCATGAATGATTTGGTCGTTGTTTTACAGAGGACGCCCTTCCTGACACAACCTGGACTCAAACCTGCAGCCTCAGGAGGGGAAGACTGCAACACTGGCCGCTGAGCTACCACTACCCTACATTTTCCATTTGGTAAGATCTCACAATTTAGTTTAGAAAAACTTCCAATTTATTCCGTATCACGTAAATGAGTTTGTAGTTGTTGTGGCAGTAATGACTATGAAGACCAACAAGAGTTCCACCAATATTACCATCAGACAATTATCAGTAATCAAACTATCAGTAATCAAACTATAAATAATCAAACTATCAGTAATCAAACTCCTAAGCATGAATTCCCTCACACAACAGTCCTGACTTGACATGTCCATTAGGTATTTTTTGGAGAAATTCTCTCATTCTCTAACGTTAAAAGGACTACACTCACGACAGGTGATGATTTTTAATTAGTATTTTGTACTTGTGAAGTCTGAATTTAGCACAAATTACATATATAACATATATATATAACATACATAAATGTATACATATGAAAATCAGTCAGAAAAAAAACACGAGCTGCGTTATCTGCTCGCTTTTATACTCCTCTCAATTCAGACAGCGTTCAGGAGGTGGAGCCAGCTGCAGTCTTCTTACACAGCACTCTTCATTTACACAAACATATGGTTCATGGGCAGAGATAAAATAGTGTTTTGGGAGATGGTTTCGGCTTGTTTTGTACTTCTTGCTCGCAGGGCAAAGAGGAAGAATCTGCTGAAGAAACAGGCTGCTGCTTAATACACCGTATTATTTACATTATTAGTGTTTAGCGTAGATCTTTTAGTGTACCATTTAGCGTTTGTTTAGTGTGTATATTACTTAGATCCTTATATACCATTTTGTTTTATACTTTTTTGCTATTCTTAGGTGTAACTGGGACCCTGACTACACAATTTCGTGCCACCTCATGTACCACATGTGATGCGAATGACAATAAAGATACTTGAACTCAATGTTCTCAATCATAATAATAAGTCATAAATACCTAGCCAGGATACACCGTAAGGGGAAAAAAAGAATACTCACTGTAATGCTACTTTAATTGGTGATATGTGACTTATCTGTGCTGCTGATTATCCATGCTGCTGATCTCTTGTCTTTATGCTGCTGTATTCATTCATACCCATCTACTCACTACAGACACCATGTTCAAAGCTGCTGTTTAATACACCGTATTATTTTACATTATTAGTGTTTAGCGCATATCTTAGATCTTTTAGTGTACCATTTAGCGTTCGTTTAGCGTATATCTTAGATCATTGTATACTCTTTCTTTTTATACTTTATATTTTTGCCATTTTTGGGTGTAACTGGGACCTTGAGTACACAGTTTTGTTCCACCTCATGTACCGCATGTGATGCGAATGACAATAAAGAACCTTGAACCTTGAATAAAAACATCCATAACCTTTGACCAAAATTTCCCTGACACATATACATGACTGTGGTGAGGTGAAAGCTGTTTCACTGATAACGATGTAAATCATGATGTAAATTGACAAACGGTTCAACTAAAGGACATGCAGCAGTACATGAAACTGCAGCTATCAGCTGCAGTGTGGAGAACTAACCTGTTAATGACTACCAGACTACCCAGACCATTGTCATGTTGCACCGCGACAGGCTTAACTAATCAGGCTTAGGAGGGAACCAGTTCAGCTTATTTAACTGCATGATTGGAAACAATAAAGTCAACTGATTTATAAAATACTTGTAAGTGAATGAAAAGGCCAGTTCTTGTTCTAATTTACAAATATCTAAGAATAATGAACAAAAAAAAAAAAAAATGAAAGGTAACTTATTTGAAATGTTCCAGTCTACAGGTGGGCTCATCCTCTAGTAGTCTTACACTCAGACAAAATATGACCAAGCTACAAAACTAAACCTAACTCTGGTTTAAACAGGCCTGTTTATCTTGCCTTTGTAGATTTAGACCATTCTCTGAATTGTGCTTTTTATTTATACTCCTAGTGGGACTAGGTTGATTCTGACTTTGATAAATTTGGAATGGATCCTGGAGAGCAATGACCGAGGGAAGAACAAAATAAAGGTATGTTTGGTACATAACAGTTGGAAGGTAGCGGTGGGAATAAATGACATTCTTAACCTGGATCTGTCAGATTTAATATGTTATTGTCTGACAAACAACAGAAATAAAAACCCTTGAGAGAAGCCAGCACTGTTAGATTCTGACAATGCATCAAACACCATTATGGCAGATTCTAGATAATGGAGATTAAAAAAAAAGTTGTAGTTGATGTGGAGTTGTGATTTATTTTGCATTTGCTCAGTTTGCACTTGTTTCAGTACAGTTTAAAAATCTACAATATGCTTGTACAAAATACATATTTAGGATCTTAGCTCATCTATGCAGTCAGAATTAAAATCTATTACTCCGAAGGTTGTCCTATGGGTCACTTACAACAGGTAGATGAATGTTCATGACCTTAGCACAAAACCAGATTAAAGGGTTAACAAGAAACACCAAAGGGTCTGCAGTGGTTTTTGACCCACCTTGCAGAGTGGTTTTGTTGGTGGTTTCCTTGTCCTTCCCTGAGTGCGCCTTCTTCAGTGTGTAGGGTAAAACTTTGGGAGCTGCACGGCCAGCACTGAGGACATCTGAACCCTCGTCTTTGTGAAAAAAGATATGAAAAGTTAACATCAAACAAGTGTATTATGAGTCAACCTCACCTCAATATAACACAATAAATGACATTTGTTGCATTTTGATTTGTTTTATTCTCATGTTGTTTTCTGCTCAGACAAGACAGAGGTTGTGGTTTTTGAACCTGAGCATTAGGAATTAGGAATAAACTTTTCAGTCTTTCACTTCCTCTGGATGGCATTAATTTGGCTTCCAGTTCTAATGTAAACAACCTCGGTGTTATTTTTGATCAGGACATGCCTTTTAACCCCCACATTAAAAAAGTTATCAGAACTGCTCTCCTCCACCTGCTATCACTAAGATTGGGAACACCTTATTTAAAAATGATGCAGAAAAACTGGTTCATGCATTTGTTATGTCTAGACTGGACTATTGTTTATTGTCTGGGTGTCCAAATACTTCTTTAAAAAGTCTTCAGTTGATCCAAAATGCTGCTGCCAGAGTCTTAACCAGTGTTAGTGGGAGAGATCATATCTCTCCAGTTTTAGCTTCTCTCCACTGGCTCCCTGTCAAATCCAGAATTTAATTCAAAATCTTACTTCTAACCTACAAAGCCCTCAACAACCTAGCTCCATCTTATATTACAGATCTTATTGTTCCATATTTTCTTAACAGAGAACTTTGCTCTCAGACTGCAGGTTTACTTGTGGTTCCTAGAGTTTCCAAGAGCAGAATGAGAGGAAGATCTTCCAGTTATCAGGCTCCTCTCTTGTGGAACCAACTTCCAGTTTCTGTCCATGAGGCTGACACATTATCCAGTTTGAAGACTGGGCTTAAGACTTTCCTTTTTGATAAGTCCTATAGTTAGGGATAGCTTAGGAAACCCAAATAGACCCTTAGTTGTGCTGCTATAGGCTTAAACTGCTGGAGGACAAACTGACCACATTTCCTCACTCTGCTGCTGTCTTTACTTCATACAAACTCTCCACATCAGGAGAACTATGACAGAACCTACCGGTGTTCCTGCTGCTGGTCTTCGGTTTCTGTGGGATGGAGGGTCGGGCCACCAGCACAGGCTTTACTCCATGTGGCGCTGGTGGTTGGAGACCTACTGGTCCTGCAGGAGCGCTAGAGGAAGATGTAGCTCTGAGAAGAGCGTCTGGTTCCAACTTTGTTTTGCCTCGTGTTGAGGTGTTTTCTGAAGGAGCAGTGTCAGCTTTGATTAAAGAACCACTGGGAGACCTGATCTCTGTGTTAGTGGACTGGAGCTTGGCTGCTGACACAGTGAAAAGAAAAATATGTTTAACAACTATAAGTATAAGTAGTCCAATTATAAAACACAACCTTTATGCATTTGTAAGTTATAGAAGAGTAAAGAGCAAGTAAAAACGTCTTGAGGGAAAATATTTTCAACACCAAGAGGTTACATCACAGCTTCATCTCAGCCCCCCACCCTTCAATGCCACACATTTGAGTGCTTATTCCTGTGTATGGGTCACATGCCAAAGGTTTGCATGTAAAGAGTATACTGCGCACATGCTCAAGTCAAAGTACACAGTGTAGTGTTCTTTAATGACGTGTTCGAGTAAGAAGACTTGAACCTGCACAGTTTAGATCCTCAAGACCAAAGGCATTTTAAAGGAAGAGGGTGCTTTTTAATAGGCCTGTAATAAACAATAAATCAATTAATCGCATGATAAATGAAAATTATCAACCTCATTTTCATTTATCGGCTTTATTGTTTCTTTATGTCTCTCTCTTTCTACTGGACACTGGATGACAAAAGGCTCAACTCCAGTGCTCTTCACTGATCCTCCCTTTCTCTTTTCTCTTTAAAATCCGTTTTAACTCCCATTTTTCTTAAAGCGACACACTGCTCGCTCCCTCACTATCCATCCTTTGGTTCAAACGGTCTTATACTGCCATCCAGTGGTCAAAAAAGGTACTACACACAAAAATTAACCAACATTTCTTCTTAAATTTGACATTATTAATTATTGTCAAATTTCAAACAATATTATTGTTTATTGCAATCATTTCAGAGACAATCGCCCAGCAAAATTTGTTATCGTGACTGGCCTAATTTTGAACAACTTTTCTGTAGTTAACCTTGTATGTAATTTCAGTGTTTTCAAATGAGGGGTTTTCAGATATATTTAAAAAAAAATTACAGCAAAGGTAGCACAGTATAATTTGACTTAAAATTATCATTGTTTTTAACTTGTCAGATTGTCATCCCCCCCCCCCCCCCCTTAAAATTATTATTTTTCACAAAGAGATTATATTTACAGTATTTCAGCTCATGCAGTCATTTAATTTTCACATTTGATCATTTTCTGAATTACATTTATCACTGTACAGTTACTTACTTGCTATTAAACTGTGGAGAATTGGATTTTGCAGATATCTGTGATCAACTACAAATAACAAAAACTGACATTCTCACAGAAATAACTGAGTTTTTTTTGTGGAAAGAAACTGAACGGAGTTCAAAAGTTAAACGGAAACACACATTTTGCTATAATCTGAGACATGGACATTTCTGTCTTTTAGCATTAAATTGATTAATTATAAAAACGAAAGCATCAGAAACACGAGTCTCACAGAGGTACTCAAACAGGCTGCTCGCTCTCCCACAGTGGAACTCACTCTCGAGGACCAAGACTTTGGGCATTGCCCCAAGTTACACGTCTGTAAAATAAAGACGACACTCCGAACACATTAGCATTTAATGCAATGTTAGATTTTGGATACAAAAGTTGTGGGAGGTCGGGGGCGTGGTGCAGGAGGTCTGTCAGCGAGAGCAGAATCAGCAGCGACAGTGCACATGCACAGTTCGTCTGCAGTGCATCTGTTGTCAGTGCAGCAAGGACCTCTGATCCTGAGCGCTTCGGGACAGAGAAGTTCTCCCAGCTGAGCTGCTGCCGGGTCAGAACAGGAACTGAAGAATGTTTGGTGCTTTCTACCGTTGGGAACACCTGGGACACTGGAAAGGACGACCCGCCCTGCTCCTTTCTGATTGGGTCAGTGTCAGTGTAATCTGAATCATAATTCAATTTGATGATTTTAATACGATACAACAAAAAAACGTATATTTTCTCTCTTTTTATATTTTTCAGATGATGAAAATCCGTTTTAGACACTTTAAAAGTGATGGAACATCGCGGCAATGGAGAACTTGAATCCCTGACAGTAGATGCTTCAAAAAGAGCGTCAATAAAACAACTTGATTATCATGCAACTTTAACAGTGCTCATGTTATATTTCTTGGGTTTAATCTCGTTTTTCTTTTTGCTAGCTTACCCATTGCATTGCTGTCAGGTCGATCAGGGCTGGAAGACTGAAAAAGACGAACAAAATGTTTAATTATTGTGTATCAGTCTAAAAATTAAACATATTTAAAAATGTCACCATACACATACATAGAGAAACCCATCAGAAAAAGCAAACGGTAAAAGCATATCTTTAAAAAGTACAAAAAAGGGGAACACATTCATTACAGGAAATCAATTATAATTTATTTAAGAGCAAAAAAGAGAAATTATAAAAACTCACTGAAGTTACCACAAAAGTAAATATAACCTATTTAAGCCATAACTCTGTTAATGAGTCTGAACCTCTGTTTTCTGACGCATGCTCAATAATCCAGGTAGATAAATCTAACAAGGTGGAGTCAGGCCCTCAGGATGGATTCTTCTTTGTTGAAATTATTATTTTTTTTTTTATCCAAAAGACTTCTTCAGTCTGAGGAGCTGCAACAAACTCAGTCATATAAACAGCACCTTCTCATGGTGGATCAACCACTTTGCTAATGACATCCAGAACTAGTTGTTCACATGCAAAAGGAGGACCACCAGTCTAACGACTGATCGTTAGTGCCCCGATAGCCACTTGCTATACATAGTTCTCATGTGTCGTAGCACATCTGGGCACATTGTCGCTAACCACCATTTTAGAAGGCATGCAAAAGCTGCAGACACGGCTGAGTAAGTTTAACCATCGAGTATTTCTTTCTTTACATACATCACAGCGGTTGTTTCATGTTGTTTTAGATGATGTTCCAACCAGGCAGAAGGTTTGGCAAAGCGCAGTTTTTACTACATTTCCAAAAATCAGGAAACGACTTCAAACGGAGGAGCTGAGCGCAGAACATTGTCGAGTCTGGCTTGGAAACATCAACCACCAGGATTCGCTATCGAAAACCTGAAGAATCTGCTGCGATCACTTAGTCCGGCAAACAGAACGTTTTATACTAATCATTTTGTGAAACAATGTCAGAATATAACTGTGCGTGTGCTGGAACTGCTCATGATTTAGCATGTCTCTACTGTAGTTAGCTCAGCTATGCTACGTGCTAAACCTCCACACCGGAACACTCACGGCTACAATGTCCTGGGTTCAAGTCTCGAGCTGAGCATGGGCTCTTTTTGTTAGGAGGCTGCATGTTAATATATATTTTTAATCTTTACTTAACCAGTTAGATCTGACTGAGACGTAAAAATCTTTTTCAAGAGAGACTTGGCCAAGAATGGCAGCAGCACAAACCTTACCGGTCTGTCAAGGAGAGAAAATAAAGTATGTTTTTAAGTTGTCAGCATGAAGACAGAAAACACACAAAAACATTTTTGACAAACATATTGTGCAATTAGTGAGAAATCAAATAAGATTTAACAAGAGGGGGTAAGCATGACTTCATGTGCAATAAATAAATAAATAAGTAAACAAGCCCTTATGGACAGGCATATTTCTATTTTAGTGCACATTTCAAAACTTAACTTTTATACCACATTTATTCTTATTTCCCATTTTGATTGTTGCCTGAAACTGATATCAGTTATTAGAAATAGACATTTAATATATATATATATATATATATATATATATATATATATATATATATATATATATAAAAACTGATGTTTTCTTTCTTTTTATGTTGTTGTCTCCAAACTAAAAACACAAGTTCACATCTCATGCTTGCTGCACATCTTGTGTAATTTTAATGCGAATTACTTTTTGACAAATAACCATTCTTAACCTGTTTCACCCCCTGATGTCTGCTCCTGCTTTCAATCAGCAACAAACATTTATATCCACTTCTTGTTTTTTTATTATTTTACAAAACAAATACAATAATAGTAATAATTTTACTAAAATGAAAATCTAAAGAGAGTTTTACAGAATGTCTTCCCCCAGGCATTTATGATAAAATGGCCACTAAACATCACAATTTAGTCTCCAAGTCTTCTGATTGTTGTCACCTCCCATTTTATTCCCTTGAACCTTTGGTGGGCTTGACATCCTTTACCTTGTATGCTCTCTTCTCCTGTTTAGCCTTCATCTCTGCCAAGAAGCCGCTGCCCATCATCTGCATCCTGGGGTACCGCTTCCCGCCCTGAGGACTCCCCCTGCCGTCTGAACCGTCCCAGGGTTCATCCATGGAGTCAGGCGTCCTCAACTCGTCGGACCGGTCGGAGCTGCTGCTGTAGTCTGCGGGCTGTGAGCGGGTGGAGGCATCTCTGGAAGAGGAAGACAAGGACTGTCAGAGGATTTAAGGATGAGGTGAGTGGAGCACTCAGTTTAAAACAGTTCTCTTTACCTCGACTTTGGTTCAGGCGCTGGGCTCTTAACTGCCCCTTTTGGAGAGGGGGGCTCTTTGGGGATATTAGATTCTGAAGCCAAGGTCACAGAGGTCGTACCACCAGATGTTAGAGCCGCCTGTTTTTTCTCTGGTTTGTCTGACTTGACAGATTTATCAGATTTAGATGATCGCTTAATGAGGTTTAGAAATCCCCCTTTACTCTTTTTCTTTTCTCCATCCTGAGACTCGGAGCTCTTCGAAGAACGTCTTCTAGGAGGCAGAAGAAGTCGACATAGAAAAAAAAAACAGGTTATAAAACTGATCATGTGATGTCAAAAAATAAAATAAAAACGTTAAATAAAGTTATACTAAAGTCAGCTGTGATCTTACCTGAATCCCATTTTTGTGACCTTCTTAGAGAAGAACTCGTCCACTCCTTCATCCACCCTTCCCATGAGACCGTTCTGCTCGCCATCATGAGATGGAGTGCCGTTGATTTGCTGAAAGAAAAACGTACAGATCTAAACCAGTCCTTTCTCAGTTGGAAAGCTTCCAGTCTAATGATCTAAGTTTCATCAGCAGGTTCTGTTATATTTAACTCTTCTATACTAACAAATTAGCTGCATCATATGGAACAATGCTTATATACTACATAAAAACAAATGGCTATATCTACATAATTGGGTTGATAAAAATATTAATCTAATAAACCAGTTACTGGACAGCAATGGTGAGTGGTATAACTATGAGACATTAAATATTCTGTCATCATTTCAGGACTCTTGGATTCCCATAGGCGTTGTCCTTGTCCATTCCCCGACATCCCTCGAGAATGTTTACGGATGTCACCAGAGGAAACTGCTGATTATTCCGTCCTTATCAGAACTCTTACAGTGCCTCGGGAGCGTCTTTGAATACTTTCACCGCTCTCGTCGTCTCACCCACTCTATGGAATGTTCTACGTCACCATGAGCTTGTCTGTGCGGGGTGTTTTTTTCATTATCAGGGTCTTTCTTCTCGGCCAACAAAAAAGAGTTTGACAGGAATTTTTTTTTTTTTGCCTCCAATTTCCTATATGTGTTCAGTTTCACTACTTTTTTGTCTGTCTAAACAGATCTCACTTGTAAATGAATCTTCTAGGCTCAATGTGATTTACATGTCTAAATAAAGGTTGAATGAATGAACAAATTATTAACAATACTGACATAGATATAACTCAAAAATAATTAGAATTGGTCATTAAGTCTGTTCCTCATAGCTTACATTCCTTAGCACAAACCTCTACATCTAGACAAACTGTACATTCATGACTCCATTTTAATTGAAGGAACTAATATAATGTATAAGAAATTTGCAAACAGGTTTGTCAGTGCTCATTTAAAAACTTCATCTACTCCCATATTTAAACAGTGATGGGCTTGTTTAAGCAAAAAAATACCGTGGAGTGCAATCTTTTTATAGCCTTATAAATATATACTTAATAATAGGATCAAAGCCTTTTTATTTAAGATTTTACATTGATATTATCCAGTTAAAGATAATATTTGTTGCTTCTTTCCAAATATCAGCAACAACTGCTCTTCTTGTCAGTGTGAGGGCGAAAATATTGAACATTTATTTGTGGGATGTTCTCATGCTGTAATATTTTGGTCAGATTTGCAAAAGCTCCTCACAGAGAAAGTTGGAAAGAACATTGCATTATCAAAATTGCAAATATTGCTCATCTTTAACAATCTTTTCTTCAGATGAAATATATAAATTTAATTATAATCCTGGCAAAATATTATATCCACAAGATGAAATGGAGTAACAAAAAAAAAAATAAAATCCCCCTCATTTAATAATTTTAAAGAAACTGACTTAAAAACATATATTTCCTCTGTGGAAAAACTTAAATAATCAGAAACCTGTAAAAACTCTCTTTAAGAAATTTAACTTTATCTCATAAACAGACCCCCTATGTTTTTACTTTTTGTTGCAACGGACCCTTTATTATTTGAATTTGAATGTAGTTTTGCGCATTTGTTAATAGTAGTGTTTGTATAGACTAAAAGATACACTTTATGTTATTTTACTCATTTATGTATAAATTTTGTTCTTTTTTTAAAAACTTTATTTATTTTACTTTGTAGCTTGCAAGACCGTTACACCAATTTTGCCAATGTCTGTGGTCATTTTATTTATATATCATTATTCCTCTATTTTTTATTGCAATCTGATATTACTTATTGTGTTGAAGATTCTTTATATGTAATGTTATTTGTTTGATATAAAGTACCGGTATATTTTTTGGGAAAAAAAAAAAAAAGATCTACACCTTCTCTGCTTGTTTCCAGATTTGTATGATCTCCTAATAAATAACAGGTGCAGAATGATTGTAGAACTTTGCTGAGCCCAGATTTGTTGTTTGGAGTTTTGTTCATCTGATTTTCCCGCAGAGCTTCACTTACAGCCACTTTACTAGAATGATTGTTTTTGTTCCTGCGAGGTCGGAGCTTGGTGAAGTGCTGCAGTTTCTTTTCTTCCTCGGACGGCAGCTCTGTGATTCCTACTGCCAAACGCTGATCCAGTTTAGAGTTCTGAGTAACCAAAGACGGAGTGGGCGACGTCTGAATGGAAGTGGAAGCATCCTCCACATGAACAGGAACGTCTTTCAGGGCCTTGTCCAAGTCAAACTCCATCTCTGTAAAGTTGGAACGAGACAAGATCTAAAGCTCACGCTCACTTCACATTAGATTAGGTTTGACCGATTGTGGGAGATTGTTACCAGCTGAGCAATGAAAACACTCTTGATCAAGTAATAAACTTATTATTTAAAGTAGTAGGACTAATAAACTTCTGTTAGAAAACATTTAAACTGAATATGACAGAAAACATCTTACCAAAAGCATGAGACACCGGGCGCAGCATTCGGCTCTGGATACTTTTTCTTTTGGATTTAGGAGTCATCTGAAGAAATAAGCATATAATTAAGCATTTATCTCCTGTTAAGAATAAAATAACCTTTGATGATAAATTGTGGGAAATAACATAATATGGATTGGTGAATATAATGTTTAATTATGAATTATGGAAAACAGATCATATAAAGATGGCCAGAATATCTGTTAGATGTGTAAACTAGGCCATAAGCCGATAAATAATATCTTTTTAGTGACGGTTAACTTTAAAATCAGCCATGACACTTTCTGCTGTCAGAAGGAAAATAGTTCCTTATTTTTAATAAGGCCTTTAATGAGAAACAAAACATCAACTATTCATTTAAGATCAAGCCATTGTATAAAAATGAACAGAGTGAAGGTTGGCAAGAAGACTAAATCACGTGAGAGGAGAGACAGGTGAAGAGAAAATAAAACAAAGAAGGACAGTGCAGAATTATTTACGCTGGTGCAGCACCATGTCTCTAAGGAGCAAAGGTGGAAAAGACGAGAAGGAACAGGGAAATATAGTTCTGAGGAGATAAAGACAACAAAGAAAGGTGAAAAGACCAAAATGAGAGAAAAAGTCATGAAGCTAAAGATGAGAGAGGAAGAGAAACCAGAACATCAAAGTAAAAAAAACTGCAGTTTTCATTAGTACTGAACAGACACTTCTCTACAACGTGCTTCTTTTGATCGTGTCACAAATGCTGATAGCAACACGACGAACTAAGTACAGAATTATTCAGGTTGGAAGGAGCTCAAGACCTTTAAAATACAGTTCACTGTTCAGAAAGTTCAACACAGGAAGGTGACGAATAAAACAAGTTTTATATACTTTGTTCATCACAACGGCCAAGAAGATTATCTGATTTGTTACTTTGTTAGGATTATTTAAAGTGCAGGAGATAAAAAAAAAATAAATAAAATCTTGATGAGATTGAGAACAGCTCAATTTATTAGTGAATTTTGATGTAGATTAGGAGCCAGACCTGGATTGAAGAGCTTTTTATTTAGATTAACAAAATGGATCAATCTGGATTTTTAGTGTCACTTTTACATAGTTGTAGATTTTTGAGTCCCGGACTAAGAAACCTGTCTTGTGATGTAACAGCAGATCCTTTCACCTTAATGACTGTGTAGTTCCGACAAATTTACCTGAATACAGATTATTGATTATTGGTGGTGGATGAGAGCACCTTTGTTGATGGATGAAGCAGCGAGAGTCAATGTTATTATGGTTGTTATGATTAAAATGTAACTTTTATTAATGGTTATGTTGTTATCTGTTTATTGGAAATTGTATGTTTCTGTTCTGCTTCTTTCAGCTTGTGTTTCAGCTGCTTCTGCTATTTAGGGCTGGCCATCGTTCAAAAATGCTCCATATCGGTACTGGTACCTTCACTTTGATATCGGTCCCTGAATGATATTTTTCCATTCCAAGCAGTTTTTTTTAACATAAAAATAAACAAATAATTTCCAGTTCAAAAGACCAGTTTCAAACCAGCGACACGTCAGCTTCTAATGTTCACTGCTACACACTGAGGACCTTTTCACTGAACAGATTTTCTTCAGAAACATCAACATGTCTGCTTTCTCTGGACACAAACAAGCCCGCTCCTGGCTGATGGTGTCTCCAGCAGTGGAACATGTTCACTCTGAGGGTGTGGATGATGCTTGTTGCACACGCAGATACCTGGTTGTCAGTTTGACAGCACTGGCATAGTGTCCCCCACGTTCCACCAGCAGGTCACTGGATTCACTGAGGTTAGGGCTGATGCTATTTCAGCTAGTATTTAGCTATTTTATGCTAATTTTAGCTTTTTCAGCTCATTCCACATTTTTTGCACTCATTTCAACCTTTTTCAGCCTAATTCAGCAAAAATGTGCTCTCTCCACTTGCTTCTGGTAATTTAAGCTTCTTTCTGCTTTTTTAGCTACTATTTAGTTGTTTTTTTTTGTTGCAAATTTCTACTTCTATCAGATAATTTCCACTTTCTTGTGCTCATTTCTGTTTCTTTCTGCCTAATTGGGCCCAGTTGTGCTCTCTCCACTTTCTGCTGGTAATTTAAGCTTCTTTCTGACTTATTAACTATTATTCAGCTGTTTTTTGTTTGTTTGTTTTTTTGCAAATTTCTGCCTTTTTCAGATAATTTCCACTTTTTGGTGCTCATTTCTGCTTCTTTTAGCATAATTGGGCTTACGTGTCCTTTCTGCTTTCTTCTGCTACTTTAAGCTTGTTCTAACTTTTCAGCTACCTTTTTAGCATTTTGTAGCTAATTTCAGCTGTTTTCAGATACATTCAAGTTTTTTGTGGTAAATTCTGCTACTTTCAGCCAAACTTCTTTCTGCTAGTTGCAGCATTTTTCTGCTAGTTTAAACTTAAACTTAGCCTTTTCAGCTATTGTTTGCTAATTTCAGCTCTTTTTGTTTTAGATAATCTCAGCTATTTTTCTGCAAATTCTTCAGCAATAAGCATTCACATTGCATTTTTGCAGGAACTAGTTACTTTCATACCATCCATCCATCCATCCATCACCCATGTCTTCCTTTTTGGGGTCACTGGGGTCATGTTTTGGGGTTGCGGGGGTCACTGGCACCCATGTCCAGCTATCATTGTGAGAGAGGCGGGGGACACCCTGGACAGGTCTCCAGTCCATCACAGGGACACAGAGACAAACAACCATTCACTCTCTCACCTAGAGACAAATTAGAGTTACCAATCAGCCTAGCGTGCGTGTTTTTGATCTGTGGGAGGAAACTGGAGTACCTGGAGAAAACCCATGCATGCACGGAGAGAACATGCAAACTCCACCTAGAAAGGTCCTCGGACCAGGATTTGAACTAGCAACCTTCTCGCTGAGAGGCGGCAGCTCTAACAACTGCTCCACCGTGCCGCCTACTTTAATACCAGATAAAGTTCAAAGAGAGCACTTTAAAATGTCCTCACTGTCTTCCCCTGATGAAATACACCCCAGAGTTGGATGTGTGTTTGTTTTTAGAACAAAACAAAGTGAAACCCTGCAGGTTAACAAGTGTTGCACATGGATACCTACCAAACATGATTCCAGATCCGTGAGCATCTCTGCCTCCAGAGTCTCAGTGGACGCCTGCTTGGAAATGGTCTCTTTAGGTACATCCACATTCACAGACTCCTGCTGCAACGATGGGCGACCTCGCTGAACCAAATGGTCTGCCTAAGAGGGCACGAGACGAGGATTAAAAACAAGCCAGAGACAAAGCAAGAAGAAACAAAGGCTGTAAAGACAAGGAAAAATATGAAATGCTCAAACAAATAAAAGATTACTAGTTTAAAAGATTAAAAGTAAATGTTTTAAAAACTATATTTAGCTTATCTTGGTCTCCAACAATGTTCAGTCAGGTCATCTGGACGGTTTCTTTTTTTTGCTGAGACGTTTTGTCTTTCATCCAAAGGACTTCTTCATGCTGAGGAGCCACCAAACAAACTCATTACACAAACAGTATACACCATAGTGAAAAAAAAAAACAGTTTGCTGGTGCTAAGATGGCCTCCGGGGCCCACCCTCTCCCCTGTCAACACCTGGATTATTGAGCATGAACTTTGGTGTTTTGAACCACTTTGGCGTGACTGTCTCAGAGGAGTTGATGGGGGAGAGGGCGGACCCCGGAGGCCATCTTAGCACCAGCAAACTGTTTTGTTCCACTATGGAGTATGCTGTTGTGGGAATCAGTTTTGTTTGGTGGCTCCTCAGACTGAAGAAGTCCTTTGGATGAAGGATGAAACATCTCAGCAAAAAAGAGAAACCGTCCAGATGACCTGACTGAACATTGTTGGATTTTAGACCTGGACTACAGAGCGTGAACTTTGGTTATTTTGGTCTAGCTTTATAAACTGAAATAATAGTGGCAAACAATAACAAGTTGTTTTGTCGGTAGCTCTGTTTGTAAAACTTACTCCAACAGAAAGTTCTCTAACTCACAAAATAATCAAACAATTTACATTAACATGATCCCAGAATTATTTATAGACGACCTCAGGAATGTCCAACATTTTGATAAAACAAACAAACAAACAAACAAACAATTAGTTATTGTTTACGCCGCAGCCTTGGCTGAGGTCCGGAGTTGTTCTGATCTTACCAGTGTGTGTTGTGACGTAGAAAGAGACATCAAAATCTCATCAACTATGCGGTCAGACAGAAAAGACGCCAGACTCAGTTTCACCTCACTGACATTGTTTTTTCCCACAGGACAAAGAAAGAAAGAAATATAGGACAAACTGTAAACACTGTTTTCTTTTTGTACAAACACTTTGCTGCTGACTGACACACCTACACACCTGATCTTGTTGATAATGTCCACCCCTGACTGCTCCAGGAGGGTTTTTGTGGCAAAGCTTTTAGATACAACTATCCTGGCTGAGCTAGCCTTCATCAGCTCCCCACGAAGGTTATTCCTCTTCATCACATGGGGACACAGAGACTCGGCTGTCAACAACATGGACTCTAAAAGAATCTGAGAGAAAAATGATGACTGATTAAACTCATGGCTGACACGATGATAATACTAATAGCTGCCGTCAACTTTCAGTGAGAGAATCGTACCTGCAGTTGCTGATCCATGACAGTGGTCACCTCCCCAGCCATGGACTCTAGTTTTTCCTGGATGGGACCCATTGATGAACTGATGAGTTCCTCTCTGGAGGCAGATCCAAGATGGTAGAGGCTCGGGAGAAGCTGGGATCACAAAGAGCAGACAATCTGATCGTAAAACTTATTTTCAACATGAAAGTACTAGTCAGTGTAAAACTATATGCAACATTTAATCACAAAAATGCCATCAACTTAACACAAATGTGCGTTAAAACATCTAAACACCAGCACGCTGCTTGTGCTCTCACCGTTTTAGAGTTCCTGGCATCTTTAAGGAGATTCTCTGCTAATTGGACGTCTTCCAAGATAATGTCGGTCTCAGAGTTCTTCATAGAGTTTAGGTGGTCCTGGACCTTCACACAAATGCGGTCCATCATCTGAAAGGCAAAACCAACACATGAACCTTGGGCTGCTTCACATAAATTCATTCAGCCACCAATTATTACCCACCTGAAAAGGGCCTTGCTCTTCTATCTACTTTAATTAGTCCCAAACCGCAATATTCCCCCACAGATGCTAAATCGAAACGACCGGCTCGGTGCCGCGATATGTGCTCTTACTTTTATTGGCATTTCCAGTCACCATGGCGACGTAAATTGCAAACAAAGACGCCATTTTTCTAATTGAAAAACACTGACAGAACTCTTAAGAGCATCTAACTGCCACAGTGAGGTCACATGACCTAGAGTCAAGAGGTCTCTGAACAAAACACAGATTAACTTTGGAGCCATTTTGGATCAAGATGGCTGCCACTCAGAAAACTCAACATTTACTATTACGCTGTCATTCTTTCAGATATCGAGCTGAAATTTGGTATGGTCGAATTTGGTATTGAGAGCGAGTTGTTATACATTTCTAATGCAAATTAAAAATCCAAGATGGCCAACTTAGCTAAAAGCTAAAAGGGAAAAAATATGACAACTCAGCTATTTTAAAAGATTGAGCTAAAAGTTGGTGTGGTGGTACCTGACAGCGATGCACAACACATTCTGAATTCAAATCTAAAAATGCAAGATGGCTGCCAAAGCTAATTTAAAATGGATATACAGAACTCAGAGGTTTTCAGAGCTATTCAACTGAAATTTGGTGTATTGGTAGCTGAGAACAACCCCTAATAGTCTCTGACTGCAAATCAACTATACAAGATGGCCGCATGAGATAAAAAGGAAAAGTACTATAAATCAGCCATGTTTGGAGCTATTAAGCTGAAATACAGTATTGTGGTAGCTGAGAACAATGCCCAACAAACACACAGTACTGTCAAATCAAAATGTTAAAATGTCCACAATGTGGCAGTCAGTCCTTGTCAAAGTTTCTCTTTGAACATTCTAGTTGCTATTCTTCTCTACTGGATGTTTAAATAAAATTAAAAAAAAAACAGTTCAGACAGGGTCTAAAATAAAACTATGAGCGTGGACAACAACTTGTTGAGGCCGTCTCAGTTTGTGTCCTCACCTGCTGGGTGGTGGTCATTACAATGCCCTGCTGGAGCCTATAAGCCTGCTCCTGTAGGTATTTCCTAGTTTCGTGGTTCCTGTATAAATAATTCTCAATCTATAAAGAAAAATAAAGCACACATAAGGGCAATAAATTATTGATGTCTACTATTAGAATACACTTTCACCCCTACATTGAGCCAGATGGAGGTTTGAGGAAGCAGTAGGTGATTTTTCTACCTTTAGCAGAGCGTCTTCTGTTTTCTCCGGGCTTGCCTTCAGAGCCTGGGAGGCATCAATGATAGGGATGGGCATAAAACGAATGGTGAAATTCCTAATGGACACACAACCAGAGGAAGAGGAAAAATGTGAAAGCTAACAGGAGCACAAGGAGGAAAAATATTTTCTATACCGTGCAACATTTAGGCACATGCAGTTAGTGTTGTAGTACTCGAGACCGGTCTTGATCTCAAGACCACTTTTTGATGGTCTCGGTCTTGTCTCAGACTTGACCACATTTGATCTCGGTCTTGTCCCGGTCTTGGACATTGAGGACTTGGGATTTTATTTCAAGACCAGTCAAGACCACAACTGTGGAAATATCACTAAATTGTTTATTTAACATCTTTGTTTTTATTGGATATAAAACGCACTGGTTCAAATACAAACGATAACGTGACTCATTGCTAAATACATTTTTTGTTACTGCTGTCACGCTCACCCTCTTTCACTCACGGGTCACTCCCAGTGTGGCCAGGTTGGGTGCATGGTTTACTGCTAATTGGGCAGTTTTCATTCAGATTTTGCTGGGAACTCTGGGAATATTTTTTTTGAACTGTTGCATTTTTCCACACATTGTTAAATTACCTTGGCTTGTACTGATGTGTGTTCATGTTCAAACAGTAAATATACTGTAACAATATATTGACTGGGTGGATTTTTGTCTGATATGGTGTTTTTTTTAACAGATTTTTGGGCTGGAAAACCTCGACTCTAACTGGCAACACTGGTCACTCCAAGAAAATGACAAGTGATTGTCTGGGCGCAGGAGAAGATGTCTGCCATATCATCAGTTATAAAATTCAGCTATTTAAATCACAAATAATATATTTGTAATAATGCAACTATATGGTTATCCTTGGTGTTGAGTTTGGACTTATGAAGAGTGTTTTGCCACTGCAGTGTTTTAAGGCTCGTCATGTGATGAAACTGCTTCCAATTATACAGTTGTGTAATTTTATTGTTGAATCACATGAAGTTAGGCCACTGAATGTCTGATTTCTTTATTATGTAGCTTTGAAATTTTATAAAAGCTGATATATTCATTCAAAAGCAAACTTAAAGTTGCAGTATGTAACTTTTATTAAAAAAAATATAATAACATTTTATATTTTATTTATTTTATTTGAGGTCTTGGTCTCAACTTGGTCTCGGACTCTAAAAGTCTTGGTCTTGTCTTGGTCTCGGGTTAGGTGGTCTTGAACACAACACTACATGCAGTTTATCTGTAGTACAATTATGTGCAGTTCAGTGGAACACAAAAGTCAAAACTTCCATTTGTAAATTGAGAAGTTAAAGGGAAAAAGACTGATCAAACAGAGCATTATTTTATAGAGGGGAATAAAAAACGTCATATTTAGTTGAATCATGCAATACGCAGCTCTGAGGGGAAATGAGGTGCTGGGAGAATATGAACATGAAACAGAAGAAAAAGGTGGATGTCTTGGTGTGCCTCAGAATCAAGTCTCTTCACGTTACTGTTACACTCCTTAAATTGTACTCACATACAAGGAAAAGTACTGGCGTTATAAAAATACTTAAAAGTACAAAGTATTCTTCTCAAAAACTACTCAGAGTGTTAATTCCATTTTAATCAATTGATGTTTTATTGTATTGTCAATAGAAGTCATTCAGTTTGATTTGCTGTATATAATAGCTACATTCAACGAACATTTCTCAGATGCTCAGAAGCTCCGTCTTATTTTAGTACCAGTTAAACTGATGGCAGCGACAATGTCTAAGATCTTTGAATACTTAGACAAACTAATAACCCACACATACAAACAATAAAAAAAACATATCATATAGGTAAAACCTCGTACACTGCAATATGTTTTTTAGATTAGATACCAAGTCTTGTAAGCTGCTATCACCGTAGAGATCAAACAAAGTTTGCATCTGGACCTGTCTCCTTTTCACCCTCTGTACATGAAACATTCCTCCAGGTACGGCCACGGACACTCATCCTCAGCCTTTACCTCATCATTTTCTCTGTTGTTGTCCTGTCTCCATTTTGGCTTGTTCTCCAAATCTTCGGTCCATAAATGACTCTCTACTCTACGGAGTTGTCCTTTGCTTACATCATAGGTAATTGGTGCGTTCGTGATCTGAGAGCCTTATTGGCTACAAAGATGTGCATAAACAATTTGAATACTAATTCAAATTGCAGCTGTACTCAGTAGCGACTTCTGATTTTAAAAGTAGTGAAGTAGATTACATGGTCTAGATTGTACTTAAGTATGAGTAAAATTATACACTTGAAAGAAATACTCATAAAAGTACAAGTACCCAAAAAAATCTACTTAATTACAGTAATGTGAGTATTTGTAATTCGTTACTTAGGATTTCTAGGGTTTTCTTCCTACTGCTCTTCTACACCAGATGGCGCCAACGGATGCACACTTACGGCTCAGTACCCTGATGATAATTGTAGGCAGCTTACTGTAGGAGAAGATGGTGAACTCATAGGGATGAGGGTCCAAAGGTTCTATTGGTAGTTCAGGAAGGTCCCAGAGAGATTGCAGGTACAATGGGCAAGTGGGAAAGACAAGGAGCATCTGGAGAGAGCACCAGTAGATCCACAAAGAAAACAAGGAGGTCCAGGGTGTTGAGGGAACACAGAAGAATACTGAAAAGTGCAGGAGCAAGGAACTGGTATTAGCAATAAATGCTAAGGAACACAATAGTGGCCAGGAACACAACTACTGGTACCTGAAGTTAGACAATGCACCAGCATCGGGCAGAAGTCATCACTGCCATTTATACCCTACAGCTCAGAACCACCTGCAATCCAACTTATCCCCGTACTAACTGTCCTCCTTGCTCTCCAGGGTTGCAGTTCTACAGGTTACCTTATTTCACATTTTGTAAATAAACACTATTACTTTATTACTTGTCTTGGAGCTGCTCATTTCCGTCACTACTAGTCTGTGTACAAAGTATTAGTAAAACCTTACAATAAGTTGAATATTAAGGGAGGAAAGACAAATCAGATATTTTTGGTCTACATGTTGGCTCTGGATCAGTTCTATCTTCATTGTTACCAACCAGAGCAGGTTTTGTCTTGTCACAGTGTCATTGTTGCTGGATTCCCCATGTTTGTCTCCTTTGTTCCGTTCTCTCCTTCCTGTCTAAAAACACTTTAAGGTTTACTCTCTGCTCAGCGTGAAACAAAAAGACATTTGCGCTCTAACAGCCAAGCGAGTTAGTATTCATTTGTACTGCAGTTGAAAGCAAACATAAAATAAAATATTGTTTTTACACATCATTTTCAACCATAACAATAAAACAAGTCTGTTACAAGCTTGTGTTCAGTTTAGCATTAATGTGGAAAAAGGACAACGAGCAACCGGATCGTACAACTATTGTTAAATTGATTAAAACTTTATGGCTTTTACTCCACCACTAAAATCATTTTCAGCGTACCAAACATTTGTGTATTTTTGAAAAGTACTAATAATTGTTATCTGGAGAGGAAAGAAAATTCTTCTGAGCTTTATTTGGATTTAGATTTTAATGATGAACCAACGTGCCTCAAATCTGGAAACGTTTCTAAGATTATGACTAAATCTCTCATAAACACAAAACAAGTCTGTGAAGTAACTTACTTTTCTAGAGCGGCTGCTACATCCTGAAGACCCTGAGGGCTGGTGTTGTTTCTATCCCAGATAACAGTCCTGCACCAAACAAACAGGAAATATGATTCTCAACTTTTTAGCTGCACCATAAAAATACCCACAAGGCAAAACAGTTGCATAAAAAAAGACTCCTGCGTTGCTTTTTTAAATTCAGTTATGATTTATCTTGTATAAATTTAAGTTTACTATGATTTTATTCATGGTCCATTGTTGTTTTTTTGATGCCAATGTTCAGTAATTCAGAAACAACCCCCGAAACAGCTCATTCAAAACACACGTAAATGAAAATTAAAAACAAATACAGCACATAAATTCATATGCACAGTTAAACAAACAATTAGAAATGAAAAGATTACTTGAGTTTAGAATTAATATGCAGTGCCTTCGCAAGCATCTTGGCTCCCATGTCGCCCATGGCGTTCCCGCTGATGTCGAGCCTGGTGAGTGAAGAGTTGCTGCCGAGGGCGTTAAGAACAATGGTCAGATCACTTTTGAGTCTGGAGTCTGCAAGAGACAGGGAGGTGAGGGGCTGGGGGGTGGATAGGGGTGGAGGTTAATCACAGGCTGTCTCATAACTTGAATTATTACCCGACACATTGAAAGGTGGGCAATCGTGTAATTTTCCATGTATGTTTGTCAGCAAAATATCACTGGATGCATTTTAATGAAACTTTTGGGTTCAGCCTAATTAAAGATGGCCGCACAGCTAATCAACGTGAGCAAACATAAAATATCTCATATTGCGAGCCAAGGTTTGGTGTGGCAGTAACTCAGAGTTATCCCAGCACATCATTTGAGCACTAACTGATGAAGATCACTTTGAACAACTACAGGCAAGTCTGTTTTATAAAAAGTGTTCAAAATGATCATGCATGACTCCAAACCTTTGCACAGTACTGTCTGTATTTAAACATAAAATGTTTTTGTTCCTCGGTTGTGGCCAGATGAACAGTACATGATGTTCTTTGACCTGAATCAGGACGAGTGGCTGAACTACCAGTACATCAACTACATCAACAATTGCCACAGGTCAACATTAAAGGCAATCCTGTATTGACCCCCCCCCCCCCGCCCCAAAACCACACACACATAAGCAGACACACACACACCACCAGAGATAAGCTTGCTCACACAAACGATAAGAACATTTTAGCCTTTTAGGTAAAGGAATTACAGATTATATCAACGAGCTGCTCTCTGAAAAGAAACAAAACTGCACGGTCATCTTTCCTTCATCGTCATCATCGGACCCTTAGCCTAGCGCAGTGGGGGCAGTACGAACACCAGCAGCTTCCACCTTGACCGATCCTCAGCAAGATGGGTGAGGACCTGGGAAGGGAGCCCTGTCCAGCTACGGACGTCATCTGCCCATTAATGAGGAGGACGCCTCCTTTTATCAGTTCCATCAGCTTTTCCTTGAAGGATCACAATTACGTGTGACAGAGTTCACTACGTGGACAAACCACTTCAGTTTCTGCTTGATCTACATTAGGAATTTCCTCCTTACCACTATTTATTTACAGGCAGGAGGTGGAACACATGGAGAGCTGGTGCAGGAAGAACAACTTCCACATTGATCTGAAGGAGGTGGTCGTGGATTTCAGACAGAACAAACACACCTACCCCCCCTGAACATAGGAGGATCTGTGGTGGAAGTGGTCTCCAGCTACAAGTACTTGGGTGTACACATGAATGACAACCTCAGCTGGAGCAACAACACCACCAGCCTAATCAAGAAAGCTCATCAGAGACTCTACTTCCTCAGGCGGCTGAGACGAGCTGGTCTGGGAAGCTCAGTCCTCACCTCCTTCTACAGGTGTGCAGTGGAGAGCATCCTGTGCTCCAGCATCAACGTGTGGCATGGAGGCTGCACAGCTGCAGAAAGAAAAGCTTTGCAGAGAGTGGTGAAGGCTGCACAGAAGTCTGTTGGAGTCAGCCTCCCCACCACCACAGACATCTACACCTCCAGATGCAGGAAGAGGGCCACCTGCATCATGAAGGACCCCACTCACCCAGCACACACACTTTTTGCCCCACTCCCTTCAGGAAGGAGGTTGAGGAGCATTAAGTGTAGAACCACTAGACTGAGGAACAGCTTCTCTAACCAGGATTATCACTGTAATGCCACTTTAATTGGTGATCTGTCACTTTATCTGTGCTGCTGATTATCCATGCTGATGATTTATTGCCTTTAAGCTGTTGTATTCACACCCATCTGCTCACAACAGGCTCATGTTCAGGCTGCTGTTTAATTCATCGTATTATATTACATTAGTATTGTTTAGCATCCTAGATCCTTGTATACTGTTTCTTTTTATACTTTATATTTTTGCCATTTTTGGGTGTAACTGGGACCTTGAGTACACACTTTCGTTCCACCTCATGTACCAGATGTGATGCAAATGACAATAAAGAACATTGAACCTTATTTGTTGAACACCCTTTTACCCACCACCTACAGTTTCTCCATGTTGTCTGTGCTTCAGTGTTCACCTGCAGTCAACTTACAAAGATTTACCTCCATCACACACACGCGCATGCACACAAACACCAAGAGGGCAATCCAGCTTTCAGCAGCATCATTAATCTATCATATCACGTCTGTAACTGTGAGAGAAAGTAGGTACACACCAGGGCAAATCTTGTCACAGCTCCCCATTTACAAGGAGCTAACATGAGGAAAATATATTGAGACATGAAGGATTTGTTATAAGAACCACAGTCAGGTCTTGAATACTCAGATGAGAGCAGGATGGTCATATATAAAAAGGTTGCATGCTTAAAACACAAACCGTTAACGATGGCCTCTCTTTAATGTTACTGGTCTGTGCTGAGAAACTGTCCTGAGCCTCCACTGGTGATGGGGGCTACAGAGAACCAGCAACTTGCTTTGGTTTTGAGGGCGCTTATCGAAAATAGAACACCAGTAAGTAACTGACTTTATCCCTGCTGAATAATAATAAAACATAATTTAAAAACTGATACTTACTGACTCCTCCTCTTGAATCATGTGGACCAGGCCATCCAATATGGGAGCAAGGTTTCTAATTTAAACAAAAAGACAAAAGAGGAGGATAAATGTAAATGAGAATTTTATGAGGTTCATTCAACTCCTTCAAAATAAAGTTGTATTAATTATGATATGTGTTAGTCAACAGTTTCACAAGTGGAGCATAAACAGAAGGAAAATGTCTCAGTCAGTTCATTATGGTTTCATTCAGTGGGCAGCAGTCCAACAACATCCCTTCCCTCCCTGCGTTCTTACTTAGACTTGATGTTGTTGAAGTTCTTGCCCAGAGACAAGTGTTTGATGGAGCGGTTCTTGGCGAGCCACACGAGCAGAGCCGACAGTTCAGAGTCTAGGCCTGGAACAAGAAAAATAGAAGATTTCCACATATTCTCACTTTTTACCCCGCTCAAGTTTTAGGTTGTATTTTGTAAAATGTAGAGGAGAAAAGTTTTATCTCACCGTTATCAGAGAGATCCAGGCTGGAAATGTTTGGGATCTCAGCAATACAACTCTCGAGGATCTGAGAACCCCCAGACCTCAACTGAAAATCAAAACAAGAGACCAGGATTATGATTGTAGTCACACCACTGCTGCTCACCTACTCATGACCAGAAAAAACCCACAATGTGTTGACCACACTTCAAAAAATTATTATTCTCTTTTTTGTTGTTGTTGCAAGGACAAATAGCAGCAGCAGCAGCTAGCTGTACTTCCAGAGCAGACTAGGATTCAGATCAACTGTGTAATGTTAATTTGACAGTGATGCATGTGTTGCATCAGTTTATAAAACAGTGTTAAGTGGATATGAAATATTTGAGACTGGAGTTTTACCTCAAACTAGACACTAGCTCAAACTATCTACAAGAGAGAAGATATTATTTGTTCAGAACCTTCGCACAGAATCCCACTTTAAATCATCTGAACTACCCCTTGGATCTAAAGCAATGCATCAATGGTTGTTATTACAGGAAGATTTATTTTCTCCTATTCTTCTAATCTATCGGCTGCTTCCTTCTTCCATCTAGGGCACCCAGGGGAGCAGATGTGGGTGTGTTGATGGCAAGGGGTGGGGGTATTAAGGTCATTGCTCAATGGCTCAGAGTGGGGGTCATGAGGGTGGAGGCCGGTGTGGGTGCTTCACTTTCCCCACCTACATTTTAATACAACAGTCAGAGGGGTTCAAACTGGTGATCTGCCAATCACAGGCTCTCTAACCTCTGCAACACCACTCCGCTCTTGCAATTATAGTAAATTATTTAAATAATAACACAATTATGACATCATTTTTATTTTATTTTATGATTTTTTTCTTTATTTATGATTTTTTTCTTTATTTTTAGAAGGGGGGGCGGGCGCTTGTAAGCCCAACTAGGGTTTTTATGACCTCTCCTGCACATTTAGTTTTTTCCTTCACTTTTAATTTATGTGTGTTGTTTCTTTTTGTGCAAATAAATAAACAAACAAACATTTTCTATTCATAAAATAAGACAAAAAATGAATCCCATTGAAAAAATATAAGCAGAAGAAATATAAAATGCCCAATGAGACGTGCAAATAAAACAAAAACTGACGGAGATGTTAAACACCAGGAGTGAGCATGTTTGTACTTACACAGTGACCAAGCTTTCAGAGGCATTAGGAGGAGAAAACAGCACGTCAACGCCAAAATAGCAATTACCAGCAACAAAACACACACAAATACGTAATAATCATTCTTGTATTTCAACATAAACTCATCAAAAACAAAGTGGCGGGTAAAAGACACAGCAGTCACAAGACCTGCAGCTGAGGAACCTGAGGAACCTGAAACTCACGGTGCTGGAGTTCCAATGTTAAACCACAACAGAGCTGCTGGCTTTCCCTATTGTTTCCACACTCAGAACAGTGTTGGACCATCTTCATTGAGTAGTTCATGACAGGCTTTTAAATGGGTGAGAGATGCTTGATTCCCTGGAGCACCAATTCAGAAAAGATAAATAAATAAAAAATAGGGATCTGAATCTGGTGGCCATCTTGGATTTTGATGTGGCAAACCTTTTAACGGTCACTTTTCTTACACGTGCATCTAAAAAAAATTAGACTATTGTGAAAATGTTCTTTTTATGTCAATCACTTCAGAAAGTGAAGCTCATACCTTACATTCATTACACAGAGTGAAATATTTCCAGCCTTTATTTCTTGTGATTTTGATGATTATAGGTTACAAATAATGAAAAAATAATAATAATAAATCAGTGTCTCAAAAAATTTTAATATTGTGAAGAGATTTCATTTTGTAAACTCCTGGTGTCACACCCTAATCAGCTGATTAACTCCGGGACATGAGCTTCAAATGTCTCATTCCTCAAGTCCAGCCACTTCTGAACCAGAGACAACATCAAAAGTGTCTTACCTGCTGAGGAGACAAAGAACTGGACTGTTGCTCAGTGGTCCAGTGTCCTCTTCTCAGATTAAAGTAAATTTTCATGACATTTGGAAATTAAGGTCTCAGAGTATAGAGGAAGAGTGGAGACGCCCAAAATCCACATTGCTTGAAGTCCCGAGTGAAGTTTCCACAGTTAGTGATGGTTTGGGTCCATGTCCTCTGCTGGTGTTGGTCCACTGTGTTTTCTGGAGTTCACAGTCAACACAACATTTACCAGAACATTTTAGAGACATCATGCTTCCTTCTGCTGAGCAGCTTTATGGAGATGCTGATTTATTTTTCCAGCGGGACTCGGCTCCTGCCCACACTGACAAAGGCACCAAAAGCTGGCTGTGGAATATTATAACTTTCTGAGACACTGAATTTTGTTTTTTCATCATTTGTAGGACATAATCATCAAAATTACAAGAGATAAAGGCTTGAAATATTTCACTCTATGTGTAGTGAATCTGTGTCGTATATGAGTTTCACTTTCTGAAATGATGGACAAAAAAGTAAGAAAAAATATATATAGTAGATTTATTTGGATTGTTGTGAGAGGACACTCCCTGGCTGCCGTGAAAAACTGGCACAACAAAATAGGAAGTCTTAGCATATAGACTGTGAAAGATCCTGTGTAGCATTTATGAAGTTCTTACTTCACAGCAGCTGAGATCCAGAGACACGTCCTTCACACTGGGATTACAGGCCAGGCCAAGGAGGAGTGCTCTGCAGGGATAAAATACAGGCAGTAAGAAGGTCAGCAGATCATTAATAAACTGTTGAAGTTTGTGCAAACTGAGCAAATGCTTTTTATCTGAGAAGTCACATTTATTTTAAATCATTTGGGCGAAAAAGCAAATATTAGAAAACCTACAAATGGTCACAGAGAATCATAAAAGAGCTGCTGCTCAGCTGCAAGTAAAGAAGGTGAATTTGAAACTGAATATGTGTCTAACTTCAGGGCGTCTTGCGGCAGCTTGGTTCCTGACACGTTGATGGACCTGAGAGACTCAGCACTGCTGAAGAACTGCTTAAATGACGGAGGCACTTCTTTGCCTTTCCTGTACACAATAAAATAAAATAAAACACAAGAAAAATGTAAAACAGCCAGGATTCAAAATATATTGATCATTTACTATACGAGATTAAAAACTCCTGTAATCTAAACCAGAGAAAAACTTAACGACACAGCAGATTTGATAAAGACTGACTCATATTTTACTCAATAGATGCCAAAAGCCAACATGCCACTTTAAATGTTATAAAACATTTAAGAAAAACTCCATGCACCACAAATCAGACCAAACAGTGAAGATTTTAAAAACTGAGAATCTCAGGAAAACCCACTTTTGCTACACAACGGCTCTATTTTTCAGTTTTCTTGGAGCTCCTCAGACTGATGAAGCCCTCCGGATAGAGGGCGAAACGTCTTTCCACAAAAAAGAAACTGCCCAGATGACATGACTGACCATCATTGGATTTTTACCTGGATGATTGAGCATGAACTTTGATGTGCTCTACTTTTGCTTTTCTTCCACATATAGTACAGTAGTCCCTCGATACTTCATGGTTCGACATTCGCGGACTCATTCTTTCGCATTTTTTCTATGTAAGGTTGTACACGACACACAATTGTCAACTTTAATATTACGCAATTGGGACGGTATGGGATAAAAAGTTAATGGGAGCGGGAACCAACCAATAGGACAAAAAACAAAACAAAAAATAAATAAATACTTCAGACAGGTACTGCCATTTTGTAGTTTTTTTTCAATAGTCCATTACTGTAATGCACGTCAAAAGAACTACATGGCCCAGAAGCCAACAGTGCTTCCAGCTGCTGCTTTCTGCCGAAATTCAAAGCACAGCAATGGAGGGAGCAAACAGTAGCGGATAAACTGATGTGGTAAAAATAGTTTTGCAATGTAAAGTCAAAAGTAATGATCAATCTTTAAGCTCACAGGACTGGCAGGAAAGTCACAAATAATCCTGAAGCTGAACTAATCCTTCAAGTTGTAGTATCTTCACTGGTGAGTACCCATATACATTTTTGCAGTACTGTACAGTACAGATACGTATGTTGTTAAAATGATGTAGATTTAAGAGTTTAGAACATTGCAAGAGTGTGGGAAGGGTTTATAAAGCCTTAAACTATATATAAATACTAAAATAAATATAAAGTTCCTACTTCGCGGTTTTCCACCTATCGTGGTGGTGTCTGGAACGTGACCCCTGCGATAATACAGGGACTACTGTAGTCCTGTTTTCTGCTCTGAACACTTCCTTCTACTTTTCATAGTCTGCTCAGCTTCCCTAAATTCTGAGCAGCCATTAGACAACTTTTACTGCCCTCTTTTCTTTAATGACGTCTGAAAGAAGCTCCACATTTCACACATCAGTTCTTCTCCAGGGGTCTCATGTATAAACACACAAAAAAATCTAAGGGAACATTGCGTGAGTGCATGTACAAACCGGATTCCAAAAAAGTTGAGACACTAAACAAATTGTCAATAAAAACTGAATGCAATGATGTGGAGGTGCCAACATCTAATATTTTATTCAGAATAGAACACAAATCACAGATCAAAAGTTTAAACTGAGACAATGTATCATTTTAAGGGAAAAATCTGTTGTTTCCAAATTTCTTGGCGTCAACAAATCCCCAAAAAGTTGGGACAAGTCCATTTTTACCACTGTGTGGCATCCCCCCTTCTTCTTACAACACTCAACAGACGTCTGGGGACAGAGGAGACCAGTTTCTCAAGTTTAGAAATAGGAATGCTCTCCCATTCATGTCTAATACAGGCCTCTAACTGTTCAATCGTCTTGGGCCTTCTTTGTCGCACCTTCCTCTTTATGATGCGCCAAATGTTCTCTATAGGTGAAAGATCTGGACTGCAGGCTGGCCATTTCAGTATCCGGATCCTTCTCCTATGTAGCCATGATGTTGTGATTGCTGCAGAATGTGGTCTGTCATTATCGTGTTGAAAAATGCAGGGTCTTCCCTGAAAGAGATGACGTCTAGATGGGAGCATATGTTGTTCTAGAACCTGAACATAGTTCTCTGCATTAATGGTGTCTTTCCAGACATGCAAGCTGCCCATGCCACAAGCGCTCATGCAACCCCATACCATCAGTGATGCAGGCTTCTGAACGGAGCGTTGATAACAACTTGGGCTATCCTTGTCCTCTCTGGTCCAGTTGACATGGCGTCCCAGTGCTCCATAAAGAACTTCAAACCATGACTCATCTGACCACAGAACAGTCTTCCATTTTGCCACACTCCATTTTAAATGACCCCTGGCCCAGTGCAAACGTCTGAGCTTGTGGAGCTTGCTTAGAAATGGCTTCCTCTTTGCACTGTAGAGTTTCAGCTGGCAACAGCGGATGGCACGGTGGATTGTGTTCACTGACAATGCTTTCTGGAAGTATTCCTGAGCCCATTCTGTTATTTCCTTGACAGTGGCATTCCTGTTTAGGTGCAATGATGTTTAAGGGCCCAGAGATCACGAGCATCCAGTAGAGTTTTACGGGCTTGACCCTTACGCACAGCGATTGTTCCAGATTCTCTGAATCTTTTGATGATGTTATGCACGTTTGATGATGATAACTTAAAAGTCTTTGCTATTTTATGCTGGGTAACACCATTCTGGTATTGCTGCACTATCTTTCTGCGCAACAATGGTGGAATTGGTGATCCTCTTACCATCTTGGCTTCTGAGAGACACTGACACTCTGAGAAGCTCTTTTTATACCCAATCATGTTGTCAATTGACCTCATTAGTGTTAATTGGTCTTCCAGTTGTTCATTATATGCTCAATTTCCTTTTTCCAGCCACTTATTGCTACTTGTCCCAACTTTTTTGAGATTTGTTGACACTGTGAAATTTTGAATCAACATATTTTTTTCCTTTAAAATGTTACATTTACTCAGATTAAACTTTTGATCTGTCATCTATGTTATATTACGAATAAAATATTGATATTTGCCATCTCCACATCATTGAATTCAGTTTTTATTCACAATTTGTTTAGTGTCCCAACTTTTTTGGAATCCGGTTTGTACTCCTTTGACCTGCTGTGAAACTCTGCTCACCTCAACGCAAACTTTTTCAGTTCACAGTACGAGACTGCAAAGTAAAGAAACTCACCTAAATGCACTGAAATATGCCGTCATTGGTTTTCTGAGCTTGTTGAAGCGCAGCAACTTGTTTGTTCACATCAACTACTTACTGAATAATCTAAGACTGACCAAGCTCCAGAGTGTCTCTGTGTTTAGGGTAATTAATTTATTAAAAAATGTGTAAAGATGGAAATGCCTCATAAGTGCTCGCTGGCTGATCAGCTCATTCAGTGACAACCAAATCCACACACTCTTCTTTGCACTCATGTGGCAAAGAGTGGAGATATTTTTACACCCAGATACTTATTTAGGAGCATATCTGACTCACAATCCATAAAATGTTTCATTCTGCTACGACAGCTTTCAGTTAGAAAACAACACACTCTTTGATACATGAGGTCCCAGATGTGCAAATAGCCAGATCTCCAGAGCAGCAGAAAGCACAAGCTAGTGATTACACAGCATCACCAGCAGGTGTCAGCCAATAACAGAGACTGATCCAGAAGCTTAGGACCTGATATTTTGCTAAACCTATGATCTCATCTTTCAGTATAAAAACAAGCATTTGTTCCTAAAATATTATATAATTAGAAAATACTTTTTGACTGACTCTACATAATTCCTTTTTGAAGTTTAAATCTAATTATAAATTTGGATTTATTTGTAAATCAAATCACGATCACTTACTTTTTTAAACTAAACATTATAGCAGAAACCTAATGAATAAGATCGAGAATTTAAGTAAACACTTTTTATTTAAGAATTCTATTTTAACTCAACCCTAACAAAAGTTTTTTTATTTGGCATCTGCAAAACTGGCCAATTATTAATTATTGCAGTTCCTTCCACTCTTTTTGTGCATGTCACCTTAATACTTCTGAAAAAAATCATATAATTTTACTTCTAACTGGATCTTTTTTTTTACAGAACATAATAAAAGTACCAGAAGGGTTGTACTCTTTCCTCTCATCCATTTTGGTCAGTCGAGCTGTGAAAGTTTTTACCTGAAGACACTCTTGGACACACTTAGAACAGCAAGGTGTTTGACCGAGCCTCGCAGCAGAGCCTCGCAAACCTGAAACACATAATGTGACGACACACGTAGCATCAGAGGAGAACACGACCGGCGTTCAGATTGTTCTAAAAACTTTTCAGTATTTGTTTATGTGTAAATGCACAAAGGGCTGTGCATTAGCAAGAAAACTATAATTTAGAGGCCAATCCATATGTTGAGTGACTGTCTGACAGCTGGCTACAATCAATAAGCTGCAGTTGGCTTTCAGACCCACATCGATATAGTATTTAGACAACTTCGCATGCAGCCAACTGCAACATAGAAGGAACTCTGCAAAATGTCAACAAAGACGTTCATCAGACAACGAGTTGCAAATCTAACTGAATGTTCTGGTTTACAGAGCGTAGCTGTGTAAACCTGTGGGTTATGTTTTGATTAAAAGTGTGACTGAATATCCCAATAGATGGGAAACTTCTAATTATCCCTGCATTTAATCCAGTCCCCCCTCCCATTCAGCAGATGGAGTGACTCACTTGATCCAATGAGCAGTCCGTGTTGGAGAGGTCAAGAGTTACCAGGCTGTTGTGTTGACCGAGGAAGTTGTAGAAGTGCTGGAAACAAAGAAATTGCATCAGATCGTTCCAATGGGTTGAACAAAGTTAACAGAATCATTTAGACTAATTTTAAAGCTTTTGTTGTTGTTTTTTTACCAATTGCGTTGTAGTTCATTTTAGACTTGTACAAATCAAGACACACCGTGACTGAGTTTTGTTCATATTACATGTAAAAAAAAAAGATTTCCTGTGAGATCCATGTTAAATAAATTTAGATAAACCAGCTGGTATTGCAAGATGAAAGAAAAACTGTAGGAGTTGTGGTTTTGTCCCTGGTGTCGTGTTTATCTGCGTTCCCTCTGATCCTCTGTTTCTCTTTATAGGGTTTGTGTTTCTTTAGTATCTAGCTCCATCTTGTGTCGTATTCATGTCTTGCATCCTCTGTCTCTTTCTCTGGCATCTGTGATTACTCACAGGTGCCTTCACTTGGTCTAACTGGTGTTTCCTGTATATAAGTCTGTTTCTCTGTGTTAGTCTTTGTCCTGACATTGTCTTATGTCCACTGGTGATGTCTGTCTGTCTATCTGTCTGTCTGTTATGTAAGTACCTCCTGTTTATCCATGTTTATTTTGCTGCCCTGTCAGCTCTTTTGCTTTGTTAATAAATTATTTATTTTACATTATTCTGAGTCCTCGCCTACACCACTGGGTTCACCAACACCAGCCTTTTGTGACAAAAACAGTTTTCCAAAAGTTATCATGACAGTCACTTCTTTCTGTCACTATCTCAATATATCACTTTATTTAGTTTACACAAAAACAAAAGGGTAAAATTCCAAAAAAAGGGGATAACACTTAGTCCTAAATAAAAATGGCAGTACTTTATATTTGCATATAAATACAACAAAACACTGATGTGTTTTAACTTAAACATGAACATGCTTTAGTTGGAGCTAGGGCTGCATATTTTGAAAAAAATTTATTGCAATCTTTCTAATGAATACTGTAATAACGTATTTTTGTTTTTTCCTGCAAAACATAAAAATACACACATGCTGGGATTAATAAAGAACATCTATTTATCTAATTCAACAAGACAAAAGTTCAAGTTTTATTTGCATTTGAAAGCAGTTAATAGTTTTATAAGTTGACCCCATGACCTTAAAACCAATAAGCATCATTGCTGACCCATGAGTTGTTGAGCTGTAAAGTTTGATATTCCCAAGTTACATCGTTGCAGAGTTAGAACTCGGACGTTAAATTGTCCAGCAACAATAGAACAGTGCGTTTGACTGTTGTATTGAATTTTTATTTAGCCTGCAGTATGGGTTGAGGATTCCTCTCGGCTACTACCACACCAAAGTTTAGCCTAAATGAGTTGAAGCTAAAAGAGTCATATTAGATCACAAATAACTGACATTAGTGGAAAAGTAGATACAAAAAATATGAACCAATAAGCACAAATTAGCAGAAAAATAAAATTCAAAAAAGCTTAAAAGCTACAGTGAACACAGAAGTAGCTGAAATCCAGCAAAAAATGCTCAAATGAGCAGACATACGCTTCAAGACCACGTTTAATGAATTAAAGAGGAAGAAGTCAAAATGATCACAGAAAAGGTAAAATTAGCAGAAAAAGGCTCAAACAAGCTAAATAAAATTAAAAAAAGAACTGAACAGTAGCTGAAAGGCAAGAAAATATGAAAAGAAAAAAAGAGCATAAAAAATATATAGTGCAGGTAAAAAAGTTTGTAAGCTCAATCATTCAGGTAAATAAATCACAAAAAAAGGTTAAATCAAGTCAAAAGAAACTGTCCAGATGACATGATCATATAGCACAGGTAGTGATTTGTAATATAAAAAATACCTTAATCACAAAAACATATAAACGTCTTTTAGTGTTAATAAACAGCGAGTCTAACCCCCCAAAAAAGACAGTCTGTGCATGCGTTCTCTGCTAGCAGGAGTTTGGATGTGCAGATAAGTTGTACATGAGCTAATGATGTCAGTTTTAGTGCACCATCATTTAATTCAGTTACATTTTAGATAGGAAAGTCCCAGGAGGTTGGAGAGCAGAATGGGGGATGATGTATCGGTTTTGAGCCCCCCAGCCACAGTGCTGGTCACAGGTCACATGCGAACACATACAGACAAATATAAATGTTTTACATGAGCTTTATGGAGGTCAGATGGTTCCATTAGGAGGGCAGGCCTGTTTGGATAATGATAGGGAAAACACTGCACTGAAAAAAAAAAAATGAATAAGCCAGTCCAAAATGATTTTTTTTTTACTTTTACAGTGCAGTATACATTTCGGAGACAGGTTTTTGTATTCATCTTGTATAAAAAGGTGCCCAGTCACTTTTCTTTCTGTCCCTTCCTGCTTTATGTAGTACCTGCATGTCGTCTCCTCGAAGCACGTTCCCTGAGAGGTCCAGATGGACGAGGCTGCTGGGGGTTAATGGGTTGGCACTCAGTGACTGGCAAAGGCTGTTTATCCCTAGAAACATACACAGATAATAAAATGAATCCCATAGTTTCAGCATTATCACAACACTTGAATCTCCGTTGGATGTTCTGACAGTGAAGTGAACAGCAGAGGAAATGAGCATTGATGGGAACGAAGAGGATCAGAATTTGAATCAACAACAATTTGCTTTTCATGCTTTTGTAAAAATGATTTTTTTTTAAAAGATAGAATGTATCAAACAAAATGGAAACTGCAGACAGACCGAGCTCCAAATATTATTACGGTAAGTGCTCGGGTGCTTTCTGTGATCAGTATGCATTTAAGAGATAAAGGTCGTGTGTGTGTGTAGATGCTGATGGCAGTAGGCAGCTTTACACTAACAGACACCCACTATAACATATCTATACTTAGAGGTTTGACTGGATGTATGCAAAGTTTTGATCAAAGCAAACGGAAATAAACCTTCAGACACCAACTATCAAAATAAAACTGGTATTAAAAAAAGAGTGCACACAATCCTCTGTAGGCACAGCTTATAGATTTGACCTTTGACAAATAATCAGGGTTCAGTTAAAGAGCCATGAGCTCTTTTCTAACCCACACAACAAAACATGATCTCTCTTTACTGCCTGCCTGAGAGCAGAACAGGTTTACATGGGAGTCCCATCGGGCTGTCAGAACATTTAAATTGACTGGAAACACGTTTAATGTTACTGAAATGATCAAGACGAACAAATGTTGTTCAAACAGTCCAGGCTTTTTAAAGAATAAAAGGACTTTTCATCAGGATAAAATGAACTGATGCCTCAAATGTCCCTCCAGGATTAATAAAGTATCCATCCATCCATCCATCCAGCCAGCCAGCCAGCCAGCCAGCCAGCCAGCCAGCCAGCCAGCCAGCCAGCCAGCCAGCCAGCCTTCTTAAGTAATATGCGTTGAAGAACAAAATTTATGCAATTTAAAACAAATAGGGTCATCAGAATAAATATTTTATTCCTTTTCTGACTAACCAAGTTATTACTACATTAATTAAGTCTCATGATGCCAGCAGGAGATGCGGTCCGATTATTAATGGACATTTTCAGAGAGCACATAAATTAATACATAACCAAACAAAATCTAGCTGATCACAAAGTGATGCTCTTATTGGCTTACAGTGGAGTAAATATTCTTGTTTTAATGTTTTATTCTATTCATCGATTTTTTTCATCCACGTCCTTCTTAGGTTGCGGGGGTCACTCTGGACAGGTCTCCAGTCCATCACAGGACACAGAGAGACAAACGAGACAAACAAACATTCACTCTCTCACTCACACCTAGGGACAATTTAGAGTTACCAATCAGCCTAACATGCATGTTTCTGGTCTGTGGGAGGAAACAGGAGTACCTGGAGAAAACCCACACATGCACGGAGAGAACATGCAAACTCCACCCAGAAAGGCCTCAGACCAGAATTCAGTCCAGCAACCTTCTCACTGAGCTCACTGACAGCTCTACCAACTGTGCCACCTTCTTATAATATTCACTTATTTAGTCATCTGGGATACAGGAAGACCGCGCATACCTTTGGGTGATAGTGAGGTTTTGGAAAAGTTCAAATGCTTGAGCCCCTTACAAAGTTTGGCAAACTGAGCCCCCAGTGATGACACTCCTGCAGGAAGAAAAAAACAACACGTTAGCTTCATTTCTTGGTGCTGCAGCATTGTTATTCTAAAGCTGGATTCATTTAGACACCATTTCATTTTACATACGAAACCCCTTTACAGGCAGATTATCTCACAACAGGTGCTACTTGTCTGCATCAGCCAGCTACTTTATTTCTGCCTCATTAAAAAAATATATATATGTTGACTATAAGTTAGGCCTGTTGCAATAAACAATAAATCAATTAATCGCATGATAAATGAAAATTATCAACCTCATTTTCATTTATCAGCTTTATCGTTTCTTCGTGTCTCTCTCTTTCTACTGAAGACACTGGATGACAAAAGGCTCAACTCTGGTGCTCTTCACTGACCCCTCCCTTTCTCTTTTCTCTTTAAAATCTGTTTCAACCGTCCAAAATCGTGTTTTTGGATTGTTAAACACAGCTAAGCTGAGAAGCTAAGCTACGAGCTAAGATAACAGGACAACCTTACCCAGAAGGACATGCGGCTCACACGATCTCTCACGTACAACATGTAATTTAAATAATTCAGACTGAAATTTAACAGAAACACACAGAACTTACTGTTACTGTAAAGTTTCATCATATAATGAAACCAAAACACAACTTTAATACAGAAAATTATCAATGAAAACCTAAATTTGATATTTAGCAATCTTTTATTAGAGCAATTTCTGTATGGGTTGCAAATGAATTCGTCACAATTCTTCAAGTGGTCTAAATAAATAACACACTTTGCAAGGCCCTCCTGAAGTCCTGAGTCCCGTGTTTTGGGCCCACCCTCTCTACATTAGCATTTTTATTGATTATTTTTCTCTCATCTCATCCTAGAGACTCCGACTCACTTCAGCCTTCACTAACAACAGTGAAGTCCTAACCAATGAGAGCTCCTATTTCTGCCTAGAGACAAAAAAAAATAGAAGGAAAATCTGATTGGATAACTGTAGTTTCATGAATTTAAAAAGTTGTGCTCAACTGTTTACAGAAAATAAGATAAATTATTCAGAAATACTACATAGAAAATATTTATCTAAAGTAAATATTGAATTAGCATGTTAGGCTGATTGCTAACTCTAAATTGTCCCTATGTGTGAGTGAGAGAGTGAATGGTTGTTTGTCTCTATGTGTCCCTGTGATGGACTGGAGACCAGTCCAGGGTGTACCTCGCCCCTCGCACAGTGATTGCCGGACATGGGCATCGGCGACCCCCGTGACCCAAAATGTAAGAAGCGGGTAAAAGATAATGGTTGGATGGAAATAATGAATTAAAATTCTAAATGTACGGTAACATTTCATATGTGCTGACTTCTCAGAAGGTGTTGAAGGCCCTGAGTATTCCCCCTCAGTGGCATGTATATTGATTTTTTTGGGTTCTGGAAAGACAGAAAGACCTTAGGCTAAAGATATTACTACTCTACTAAAAAAGTTAATATAACAACTTACAAGCAAAATAATGTGGTGTTTAATCATGCAATATAATGAACTAAATATGCATATTTAAGATTAAAGAAGCAGAATTTGGGCTTTATTCCTACTTGTAAAAAAAAATCTCAGTTAAACCCGTCTATTTTTTTTTTTGCTCCAGTTTGAATGTCTTCATATCACATTCTGTATCCACTATTCTCAAGCCTGTTTGAGGTCTTACTCTAACTACGGCAAACCATTTAAAAATGTACAATAAACAGACTGCATGTAAAAGATAACATTCAACTGAACAACATAATCTTTATGTGTTTTCAGAATCATCCCCATATAGAGAATGTAACACACAATCTAATCAGTCAATAAAGTGAAGACGTGTTTTGGAGGACTTCAAACATCACATCATCATCTTTGAACGCCATTGTACCTCTGTCCTCCAGAGGGTTGTTAGAGAGATTAATGCTGATGAGTCCTGAGCTTGGGTTGTGGGCCAGGGCAGTAGCCAGCTTCTGGGCAAACTCACTACAATGTAAAAAATAGAAAAGAAAAGAAAAAAAAAACATCTTGTTATTCGTTTGTGTCCAGTGTACAACAAAATGCTTACCTCAGACAAAAAAATGCTTCAGCACAACTAATGCTTAACAATCTATATTAATGAATGTGTCTGTACTGAAAAGTTTCTTAGTCCAAATGAAAACACAAAAATATGACACTGTAAATGTGATATACGTATGATGTATATTTATGACACATAAAAAGCTGGAAATGAAACGATAGTTTGTATCTTTTGAATAATTTTCTGTGGAAAGGCTATAAACAATAAATATGTTACCTGTTGCCGAACAACCCAATTTTGGAGAAATAAAGTTCAGTTTCATTTACAGCTAGTCTGAGTGAGACCAAGACCAAAGTGGATTATTGTCCATTTCACATTACACAGTAATTTGCAAAGAATTTTATAATAATTTTCAAGCACAAATTGCAGAAACAGCTAGCTTTAGCACTTTCAATGCAGACAGGGGCATTTCCTGCAGGTATAAATATATACACAAATAATGTACAAGTGATTGTGGTGTAAATTTAGTATTTCATTGTTTCTCATTATATTTAATTGTTTTTATGCTTTTATTCATGTTGTTGTAATATGTTATTAATATTTGATGCTGTGATCTTTTTGGTAAGCACTTTGATAACAGTTACTGTTTTAAATGTGCTATATAAATAAATGTGACTTGACTTGACTAACTGTTTTTTTTAAATAGTGTTAAAATAAATCACAGTGAATCTTTTTAATGCCAAAACTTCTGTGTTTGCATTTAATTTTCTTTATTTTAAATCCCATTATTTTATCACATTAAAGCAGTCTCCCCTGAGCAACTTAAAGTGTGATCTAACTTTCAAATTTTTTATTTACAAATAAGGTGTAAACAAACTGAAACTGCTGTAAAATGGATATAGAAACATAAAAACTACAGAAGGGAAACGAACATTTAGAAAGCAGAGTTGAGCATAAAAAGAGGATACAGTAGTCCCTCGTTTGTCACGGGTGTTTGGGACCACGCCCACCCGCGATAAGTGAAAAACCGCCAAGTAGGGATACAGTAGTCCAAGGTCAGTTCAAGTTCAGTAAACTTTGTCATGACATGTGCCAGGCTGCAATCACAATCATCACCTGTTACTCCCAATCTCCCTCCTTAAATAAACAATTTAAATTTAAATCATGTAAAAATTTTGTATAAACAATCCACACAGCATGGGTTGTTTATTTAAAATGTTACATTATTTAAATTGTAAAGAAGAGAAATGCAGCAGGACATCACAGTGATGTCACACAGCTTCAGCTCTGCAACACGGAGCAGAAATGTACTTCCTGATCAATTACACTGAAACAACTGAACATAGAAGTTCTAAAATAATTAAAAATAACAACACTTTTATATTTTGTGATTATGATGGTTTTATGATGTGACATACTTTGAATTTTAAGTTGGAAGACAAAAGTTGATCGGTGCATCTGGACAGCAAAGGGTTAACCCTTCACAAAGCTGATGCAGGAGAAATGTGTGTGCATGGCAGAGAAGGAGATCAGCTGATCAGCTGCAGGAGGGAGCTTTCCCTTGCACTTGTGGGCAGCACACATGGTGCAAAATCATCAACTTATTTTAAATAAACAACCCATGGCTCATCCATTGATCAACTAATTGTGTCATGTCCAATCTTATTTAAAAAAAAAGTGATATATCAAATCTGTGATAAACGAACCGCGAAGTAGCGAGGGACCACTGGAATTAATAGGAATTTAAATTATTCAATATTTTCCATATTTCCTTAATTTATTTTTCTTGAAATCTAAAGGATTATTTTGTAACAAAGATTTCATGTACCCATCTTTCTTTATAAAGAGGATTTTCACAAAAATGTGTTAGAGCAAAGCCCAAATAGAGACAATTAACTTGTCATTTTAAACTTTAAAACTACTTCAATAACATACCAGTAACTGTTTATTGACACCAATACACTTGAATAAAAGTAATAAAGAAGCATTTTTCTTACATTTTGAGTCCTGCGTTGTCCAGAACCAATTCTTCTAGTCTAATGGATCGAGACACCACTCGAAGTATCTGGTCGCACACATCTGCAGACTAAAGACACATATGGCAGAACGCTTTCACTGTACAATCAACTTTATTAAAAAAGAAACATATGCAGCTTTCCACATTTACAATGCCACTACTAAAATAAAAAATACAAGGTTAATTTACAGAGTGAAATTTGTGTTTGGTCCACCTCTTTCATGTGATTTTTATGTCCAATTTGCAAATGTAAAATATTTGCAGGGTTAAATTTATATTGTAATGATTGATTCTCTCCCACAAAGCAATATGCTCTTGAACTACACTGAACAAAAATATAAATGCAACACTTTTATTTTTGCTCCCATTTTTCATGAGCTGAACTCAAAGATCTAAGTGTTTCTCTATGTACACAACAGGCCCCTTTCTCTCAAATATTGTTCACAAATGTATGTAAATCTGTGTTAGTGAGCACTTTTACTTTGCCAAGATAATCCAGCCACCTCACAAGTGTGGCATATCAAGAGGCCGATTAGACAGCATGATTATTGCACAGATGTGCCTTTTGCTGGCCACAATAAAAGGCCTGGGATCAGACGCTTGAGCTGGAACAGTCTATCATAACTGTGAGAGAAAAACACCAGAGCAGAGGACTGAGAAGAACAGGACTTGGACAACTCATGAATAAAATGTAAGCAAAGTTTATTTACAAGAGACATTACGTAAACAGGTATTTACAGGAGTTTCTGGGGAAACAACCTGAAAAGGAGGAAGACTAGTAAGTAGGGTTCCAGAGAGCAAGCTCCAGGTAGATGGGAATGTTTCTCTTACAGTTTCCTTGAGGATTGTCAGCACAGAGAGGAGGGTAGAGGATCCCAGGTAAGTAGAAGGTAGGCAGGTGGCAACTGGTTCCATTAGGTCCAGTCTTTACTTTGGAAACACTGGTGTATATAGGTCTAGGGTCAGACTCTCAGGAAAACAGGAGCGAGGAGAACACAGAGATTGATAAATATGATTTCAATTCTCAAAAACACATGAAGGCTGCCATTATACTGACTGTTAGCGTTGAAAGGAACACTGAATCATCCAATATATCCATGGAGCTTGTTAACAGGATTGGCCTCAGCTGCTGCTCAATGGTGTCCTTCTGCCACAAGGGAGAAACTGCAAGGCAAGAAACACTGGAATCCCACAGTATTCCCCTCTCAAAAATTGCCTCTTGGTGATCTGGGACATTTCTCGAGATGGTCTCTATAAAAGGAAGAAATGAGCTGGGTCAAGAATGAGGGACCTGGAAATCCAAAATCATTCCTCTGGGCCGTAACCCTCCCTGTTGACCAGGTACTGGAAACCTCAACCTCAGTGTCTTACATCCAAGATGCGGTGAACAGTATAAGCCGGGTACTTATCAATGAGTCGGGTGGGTGGAAGGAGATTGCCAGGACAGCACAGAGGACTTAATGGAATGTAGGATGAATGCACATGGAAGAAGGTACATTGAGTCCGACAGTGGAGAAGTTGATGATTTTCTCTATAGGGTACGCACTTGTGAATGGAGGAGCTAATTTCTTGGGTGTGTCCTTAATGTTTATGTCATGTGTAGAGAGACATACGTTTTGGCCAATCTGGTAGTGGGAGCTGCAGAGCTATGTTGATTAGCGTGCATCTTGTTTTGGTCTGATGTGTGCATGAAGACACTGTCTGGTGGCAAACTTTTCAGCAGCAGCAGAGATGATGTTGCACAGAAGGTATGGATATCTCAAACTCTTGATCAGGAAAAAAGGTGGAGAGCAACCCAGAGATGAATCAAGTGTGTATTTGACCCAAACCAGATGTTGGCTCCATGATGATGGGTTATTATTGATAACGCACCTGAGTGGCCTCCAGCTCATGGTTGCAACGTTCAGTTTGGCTGTTAGATTGGGAATGGTACCCTGATGTCAAACTGGACGAGACCACAGGAACACTGTAGAAAGCTTTCTAGAATTGAGAGATGAATTGAGGTCTTCGGTCAGAGGCAATATCTGTGGTGATGACATGGATTCTTAAAACTTGCTGAACCAGGAGCTGGGTAATCTCCAGGGCAGAGGGGAAGTTTACACAGGGAAACAAAGTGGGCTGCCTTGAAAAACCTGTCAATGACAGTAAGTATACCAGTTTTACCCTCTGAGGGTGACAGTCCAGTCCAGTGGTGAAGTCCAGGGAGAAGTGTAACCATGGGTGACTGGGAATTGGCAAGGGCTGAAGAAGACAAGCAGTAGATTGATTTCTGAAGAAGACCAGCAGGAAGTTGATTTCTGCACTTGTTACATGCACAAATGGAATAAGCTGCCACAAATTCCTAAATGTCACTGTTTATTTTCCACCAGAAGTGTCTCTCAGTGAATAAGAGTATACAATAAGTACCAGGGTGACAGGTTATCTTATTATGAACCTAAAACTGAAGAAACCTCCAGCAGAACCAGGCTCAGGATGAGCACCCAATCAGTTTGATGGTAATAAGATGGTTTCTGGAGTTTGGTTTCTACATAGAGAAACCGTCCAGAGGACCTGACTTTACTTTGCTGGATTTTTTTTGCTGGATTATGGAGCATAAACTTTAATGTTTTGAAGCACTTTGGCCATGGCTGCCTCAAACGAGCTGACGGGGGAGAGGGCAGACTCCAGAAATCATCTTATCATCCTCAAACTGGTTGGCCCACTATGTGAGTGTGCTGCTTATGGGACTGAGTTTGTTGTGGCTCCTCAGACTGATGAAGTCTTTTGGATGAAAGACAAAACATTTCAACACAAAGAAAATGTCCAGAGGACCAGACCTAACTTTGTTGGGACATTTGTTTACCTGGATTATTGAGCACCAACTTTGATAAAAGTTTGGGTGTAGCATGTAACCAATCATATAATTTTACCTCCACTGTCACCACTTCATAAGAAAAAAATATTGCATTGAAACTGACAAGGCTCACTGTGTTTAAATTTAGACTTAAAGCTGTGCTGGTTTAGAGCCGTCTGTCCATACGACTTTTTACCTGTTTTTCCATGCATTGTACTCAAACTTCAAAGCTTTGTTAAAGCGATTTTTGTTTACCACAGCCAATTATATGTAGAAAGGTAAACAGAGTACATCTTTAAAGCTTAAAGGACATTTCTTCTTTGAGCAGGAAAAAAAATCACAAGAAGGTCACAGGAACAACATAGTAACTCAGTAATTCCATCAAGTGTTTCTTTAGACAAGAACTATAGGATATGCAAATTAAAACTGTGCCATCGGACACGGAAAAGCAGAACACAAGTACCCTTTTCCACATAAGACTATTCATGCATAACCCAGTGATGACAGGAGAGCAGACTTTGTACTGTTTAAAAGAAAAAAGTTGCATCGCTACAACAGGAGACACAGTTGAGGGAGCAAAAAACACTCATTTTAAGACAAAATGAAATATTCAACAGCTGAGTGTCCATGCTCCACCTAGATGTTCACTGACCCAGTTTACTATGTGCTGCGTCATACCCAAACATTCCCACACACATTCGTGTGATGTTCCTACAGTTGTAGACTTTTTGTCTAATTATCTTTAGTAAAAATGTTCTCCTTATCATAACACAGCTTTATTGGACCAATATTCTTGATTCAGCAATGGCACTTTCTGTTCATGTGTGGTCAGTGGGGCAGAAACAGAAACAGCATGGGTATTGTACAACCCTTTTCTGCAAACAAAGACAAGAAAAGATAATAGAACAAGTGAGAAAACGACAGGAAAACTGAAGAAAGAGGTTGTTGTTCATACAATGACTCTGCTATAATACAAGTGTTAAACAAAAAGCATAAGAAGAATAGAGGGCAGAAAAACAGAAGGAAAAACAGAAGTAGTGAAGCAAATGAAGAAAAAATGACACTGAATAGAACTTAAAGATGTTTGTATTTCCACAAGAACACTTGATGACTGTCACCATGTGTATAGTACCAGTTACCACTCTAAATACCAGCTCGGTCATGTTTGCTGTTCTGACCCCACGTTGTGATGAAATATCACATATGGCGCTTTGCCACTGTCTCAACTCTCACTGACTCTGCACGACATGGCACCAGTTAAGGGCCTGTCCACTGCTAGTACCCACCCCCACTCAGCTCGGTTTATGGAACCATCTTGGTCGTAGTTCCAAGCGAACTGCTCCAAGGTGCCAATTTTGACGTAAGCAGAGAGCAGCTGTTGATTGGCCAGTGAAGATAGGCCACTGGATGATCTGCCCAGCAAAACTGCAAACTACATCTGAATCTCCACTTCCTCATCTCTACTGAGTTTGTTGATTCCTATAAATATCTGGGTATCTTGGTCGACTCGCATCTCTCTTTAAAGCTCCATGTGGAAAACCTAGTAAAGAAACTGAAAGTTAAACTGGGTTTCTTTTTCAGAAACAGATCCTGTCTAACTCTGAATGCTGGGAAACACCTTGTAACTGTGACCTTCCTTCCATCCAATGATTACAGTAACATTATTTACATGAACGCTCCTACAAGAACCCTGCAGATGTTGGATGCTGTCCATCATGGTGCACTAAGATTCATAACTGGCTGTGATTATCGTACCCACCACTGCACCCTGTATTCACTGGTTAACTGGTCATCATTAACTTCACACAGACTCTCCCACTGGTACATTTTCATCTTTAAATCACTTCTTGGTCTGCTGCCTTCATACATCTCCTCCTACATGTCTCTGCATGAGTGCAGCTACAGCGTGCACTCTCAGGACATTATTACCTGCAGTGTTCCCTCAGTGAGGACTGAACTTGGCAAAAGGGCCTTATCCTACTCCGCTCCTGTTTCCTGGAATATCTTGCATAAAGATCTGAAGCTCTCGACCTTGACCTCTCTAAGTGGCTTTAAAAATCTGCTGAAATCCTGGCAAGAACCAATGCAGACATGTTCCTGTTTTTAGTTTTCTACAGTCACCTTATAATCTAGCTCTTTTTTGCTACATTTTTTTGCCATCTTATTTTAATTTGTAAAACCTAAAAATCTGTTTGCCTCTTTTATGATTGTCTATTGTCTTTGTTGTCATCTTTCTTTGTTGAAATCAGGTCTCGCTTGTAAATGAGTCCTCGAGGCTCAATGGGATTAACCTGTCTAAATAAAGGTTGAATGAATGAATGAATCGTGTTGACAGATGGCATCACAAAAAATAAGCACATTTATCGACAGATATCAGAGAGATGATGACACAGCATGGCTACACCAGGACTTATAAGCAGTGCTGAGATAAGCTAAAGCTAGTGCGATTAAGGACTACAACAGGCGGAGTGGCTGGAAAATAAAAAGATCAGTTAGGATCCCACAGAGCGGGAAAACAAGTCACAGTGGCAAATCACGTACATGTGAGAAGAAGCAATAAGATGAGAGCTGAATGGAGTCTATAGTCTCACACACATAGAAGCTGAGCAGTCATGAGGTAACAAGAAGGCCAGTCCTTGTCGCTGCAGTCCTCTCATTTCCTCTCGCTGGTCTCAGATTTGGCTCAACATCTTAATTAGACCCAAAGACTAAAAGCCTGATTGAACTGAGGATGAGCAGCATAATCTCTCGCTGTGAAAACTTGCTGTGTGTGTGTGTGTGTTATTTAGTTTGTCAACTGCACCGAGAGTTCTCTTGTCTGTTTTATAGAGGTGGTCAGACTGTGATTTATAGGCTGAGGCTTTTAGATTTAATGCTGCAAATCTCCTTACCAGCTACATTATGTGTCCTCCTTATGTGCCACATGTTGTTATTGTTTAATTATTGTTACTCTTAATGCAAATGCAAAGTTCAACAGCAAATAGTGTTTTGTACTGTTGTGAAATTTTTTTTCCCCGAGTCTCCTGATTTATTTTTGACCTAGTTCCATTGCTAGAATGTTTCTAGCCATCATGTACAATTTTATTTATTATCTCCTTTTCACTCATCTCATTGCTTCATCATCATTTTTACCCACTCACATTCACAGGCCCTCTTCCTTCTCCCTTCTCCTCCTCAAACACTTAAGCATGACTAGGTCTGTATAAATAAATCAATTAATCGCATGATAAATAAAAATTATTGACCTCATTTTCATTTATCGGCTTTATTGTTTCGTCGTGTCTCTCTTTCTACTGAAGACACTGGATGACAAAAAGCTCAACTCCGGTGTTCTTCACTGACCCCTCCCTTTTTCTTTTTTCTCCTTTCTCTTTAAAATCCATTTTAATTGTCCAAAATCACGTTTTTTGAATCGTTAAAAGCAGCTAAGCTGAGAAGCTAAGCTATGAGCTAAGCTAACAGGCCAACCTCGGGGAAAAAACTTCTGTCTTGTCGAAGCTCCAAAATTCACAGTTAAAACCCATGCCTTCGTGTAAAAAGTTGTTTTTCTCTGCAAAAAGAAGCTGAGAACTTGTTTAGTGATTTTTTATTAAAAGCTTTGTGTGACAAATGCTAGGCTAAAGAGCTCAAACCACACAGAGCATCCGCCATTTTGAGAACCGAAGAAAAAGAAAGAGAGACAGCCCATGTCATGTCAAGGGGCCTCCCTCCCATTTTTCTTAAAGAGACACACTGCTCGCTCCCTCACTATCCTTTGGTTCAAACAGTCTTATACTGCCATCCAGTGGTCAAAAAAGGTACTACACACAAAAATTAACCAACATTTCTTCTTAAATTTGACAATAATTACTAATTATTGTCATATTTCCAACAATATTATCGTTTATGGCAATAATTTCTGAGACAATTAATCGCCCAGCAAAATTTGTTATCGTGTCAGGCCTAAGTATGACTGACACAGTGAAAACACCATTTCTAAAATACCTTAAGAAATTGTTTTTAAAGAATGTTAGCATACAGGATCCTTTACCTCAATAAGTAAATGACTAAGTATAATAGTTTTGTCTCATTTGTTTAACTGGGTTCTCTTTATCTACTTTTAGGACTTGTGTGAAAATCTGATGATGCTTTAGGTCATATTTATGTAGAAATATAGAAAATAGTAAAAGGTTCACAAACTTTAAAGCACCACTGTAGCTATAATTTGAACAACACATTATATATTAATTAATATTAAGTAGTTAATATATTTTTCAAAACACTATTTTTACAGGCCAAAAGAAAGCATTGCAGAAACTATTACACCACTGCCATAATAATGCAGTAAAGAAGACACAGCCTTACACTAATGAAGAAAACACAAAAAAGCACATTTTTCCACCTAACTTTCATTACATGTTTTAGTTCGTGACAAAAATCAGTCACTTACTGTATTTGCCTTTTAAAAAATTATCAATTGTATTAGAAAAAACTGAACTTTAAAAATAAAGTGTTCATATCAATGAAAAACCCAAACCATCTGAAAAATGTTAGAAATTAGGAGGTACTAACCAGTTTGTAATCTTTGGTAGAGAGCTTGGTGAACCACTGGTTAAATTCCAAGACTGCAATTATAGCTACCAGATCCCTGAGAACAAGAGGAAATAAAAAAGTCAGGGTTATCTTTATTAAACAGGTGATGAATGCAGCTTTATTATGTTCAAAATAAATCCTCACAACTATAATGCATGTTGTCTTTTGTGCCAAATTATTATCATCAAGTCACCTACGCTGATGGATGTTTCTACAGGTTTACTTTAATATGAAGGAAATTGTTGCAAACACCCACTTGTTGTCTAGATGGCTGAAGTCCTGCAGGTTGAGTTCTCTGGTGTCTTGTGTCAAGTAGATGGTATCAACATCCTGAAGAGGAAACAAGCTACACATAAAACTGATCCGTGTTTCATTTTCTTGTATGAACAAGCTGTATGCACTTTAGGCAATAGATAGCACTAAACACAGATCTGCAGTAACTCCACTAAAGACTGGGAGTAATTCTTACCCACTGAACTTCTTCTCTGTACGGCAGCCCCAACCAGTCACATACACATCTGTACATTTGAGAAAACCCGCCTGCACACAGAGACACGGTCACGCAGAGACAAAAATAAAATAAATAAATACACCAAAATACAGCCAGTAATTAGTGTATAGTTGTTGGTTCCTACCACAGGGTCCAGGTTCAAGTGGTTTGTTGTTGTCCCACAAAGCCTGCAGAACGGTCAGCCTGTCCGGAGGCTCCATGGAGAGTTTCCTCATCACTTTACTAAACAAAAGATGATGAGTGAAAACATTTAGTTTTAGAACTGATTAATTTTTTTAAGGATATCCTTTATTCAGAATCAGAATCAGAATAAGCTTTACTATCATTGCACCGAGATACAACGAGAACATGTACATGCAGTCGTCCGGAAGATGGACGGAGTGCACGAAGCTGCTGCTGTAAGCGCGGCCTCTCTTATCCTTTTTCAGAATAATAATCTTAGAGAGGGAAAGGGGTAGAAACATGAGGGTGGATAGTGGTATTACAAAAAAAAGATCTTTCCCATCTGGTCTATCAGGACACGATTTGAGACATAAAACAAACTCTACCAGCAGCACAATTAAAACATGATTACATTTGCATTTGACGTCAAGGTGTTGAGATTTGTCCATGAGCGTTTTTTTTCAGGTCGGCCACAGTTTCTGAAGATGATGTTTCAGCCAGCAGTTCTGATAAGCTTGCACAGAAAGTTCTCAGGGGTGCGATAGATGAAGCTTTTGTCCATGGTTACTCATGACCCAGGAGAAATTTGATAGTCGGCCCATTCCAAGGCCGTCGGGAGTCAGATTCAGATAAGCTTTGATTGCTGATTTTCTTCAGGCAGACAGATTTTTTTCTTCTTCTTCAGCCTTGAGTCTATCTGGACGTTCTGGTTCCGAAAATGCTTAATTGTGGGATTCCATTCCACTGATCCATGCTATGAGTCTCCCTCAAGGTCGAACCCACCACGCTGACGAGTCCCAGAAGCCGCAGGTGGCCTGCGATTCTCATAAATCGCCTCCACCTTACGGTTTAGCTCGTAAACCAGTTGATTTAGAGTTCTTACAGCACGGACCAAACCTGCACACTGACTCGGAAGTTTTGTCATGGCCGAAACTTCTGCCGCTGTCGTCTTCAATAGCTGATAAAACAGAGCCCCGCGATGCCAAAAAAAGCAGAGTCCCTGCTATCATAATTCCAAATATGTTGTTAAAAGTAGAAAAGCAGAAAGATTTTTCATTTAGAATTACTAAATACATTTAGTTAAACATGTTAATAAATGTAATTCTGTTTAACAGTGGCAATTTTAGCTTCTTTTTTGGGGGTGCTAAATTTTAACTCAGCACCCTTGAAAAATAAAGTACAAAAAAAAAATTGCGTGCGTGTGTGTGTGGGGGGGGATTCTGGGTTTTGGGTTCTGTTTATTGCATTTATGGTTCAATGCAACAAAATAAACAAATTAAACATATAATTGTAATTTATTTACATAATGACTGTAATTGCTGGATGTCCGGCCCCTGAGCTGCTGGCTTTCAGAAACTGTGGCCCCCTGAGCAGTTTAGTTGGATAGCCCTGCTTTAGAGGGTGGAATATAGTTTATTCCATTTCCTAAACATAAACTGAGTCTGGAAAAATGTAAAAGATGGATAAAGCCCTGCGGCCGAACTCATGAGCAGCTGAATACAACAGTGATAAACAGGAAGTACCACATGTTCATCTGTATGGAGGTAACTGCAGGTAAATCCTCCATTTTCTGTCATAAATACATTGTACGCTTAATGGTTAAATTAATGGTCAATTCTTAAAGCTAGTTGTGCTTTGTTTTGTGTGTTTTAAATGTAGACATATGTTGTAACTTTTGGTTGCAGAAGTTTAGTCTTTGTTTGTTATGATCAGTTAACATTGATTTTGTACAAAGTGTTTTTTAGGCTGTGTAATGTAAAGCAGAGTGCTACGTTTGTAGCATTTAAGCTAGCACATCTGTAATGCACGCAGCTACTGTAGTTTAGTGCTACTTCTTGTTGTGCTGAGCTCTCTAAAATAGTTGCTGAATCAGGTGTTTACTTATGTAGGTAAACGTAGATGTTTAACAACCCGTTAAAATACACCAGAATGCAAGAAATGGCATCTACTTTATTCAAAACTTTCCAGGCGAGAACCCCAGACACCCCCCACCAGTGTGTCCCACACACATTATGAATGCTTCTGACACCAATGGCCACCATGTTGTTCAAGCTAAGAGCCATTGTCAGCACTGGGGGCTAAACGCCCCCTAAAGATCAGATTCTAGAATCGCCCCTGCAGTTTATTAAACTGTTAACGTTATTTGCCACTTCGTCAATTTTTACCCAGTTTGCGCAACTATTTCATACATTTCTGTATTTACAGTCATGTCTAAGAAAGCACACCTTACACCACTGCTTTAGTATGCACAGGTTTCCTTCAACAGATACTCCCAGCAAAAATACATTTAAAATATATTATATTCAGTTGAAATTAGTACCGTGTGACTTGTAGAGATTCAAGGCATGTGCTGAGTGTTTAAATGAGATGAAACACTGAAATTATCATAAATATTTTCCTATCTTTTTACTTGGAGGGTTCATTTTAAACTTATAAACTCACAAAGAGATCGTATTATGTTAAACAAATAGAAAAAGTCTTACCTTGGAGGTAAACCAGGACATATCTTGAGTAGACAGTTTCCGATGTGAGCGACCACCTCATTAACCTCTTCAGTGGAGGGCAGCTTTAAAAAGAATGAGCCACGCTCATACTCTATGAACAGCTAAAGGTAGATTTAAAAATAAATAAAAATCAATTATCCATACAGCTCACAGTGAACCAACAAACAGCTGAATCATTATAAAGCATGCCTTTTAAGCTAAAAAAAAAGTCTAATTTGAAAGAATTGTTTGGGGAAAAAAGATTAAATATGAATAAAGTAAGTGTTGAAAATGCCCTTAACAAAAAGTAGACCCTACATTTTTTTCTCCTGAGAATAATCTTAATGGAAAGTTTTCAGGCCCTCTTTAATCCTCAGAAAGTCCTTTAACATTAAGTGTTACTTAGGGCAAAAATCAACCATCTTACTTAACTGGTCATTAAAAATTATTATTTTCTCACAAGAAACTACTCAGCCTGAAAAAAAATTATCCAATTGAAATGACATTTTTATTTTGTTTTATTTTATTCAACTCTTTAGGAACCTTTAGTTAAAAAACATAAAAAAATGTTTTTTTGTTAATCAACAAAATATTTATTTAATGGAAATTTTAGATAGATACACAGAAAGATGGACAGATGGACAGAAACAGACAGACAGAGACAGACAGAGAAACACAAGAGACAGACAGACAGATACAGACAGACAGAGACAGACACGAGACAGAGAGAGACAGCAGAGAGCAACAGCAGAGACAGACAGACATGAGACAGAGAGAGACAGAGACAGACAGACAGAGACAGAGAGACAGACAGACAGAGACGGAGAGAGA